CCCCATCCACAGCCAGATGCAAAACCCAGAACCGCAATGCTCCTTTACCATCCTCATCCGCAGATACTCGGCACGTATGTGTGTGTGCTGTGTCCGTATATGCTCCTCACTAAGCTGTGAAGACACAAATGAAATTTAATTTCAGCTTGCAGTTTGATGGGGCAAATGGAGCAAGAACTCAACTAACCCGTAGCCAACCAACGAAAATAACTGCAAGATATATTAATAAAGCAAAAATTCACATATGAAATTTTAATATGCAAACGAGCAAAAAGCAGAGGGTAAAGCTTACAAAAAAAAAAAAAAATCAAAATGTAGGGAAGACCAGCAGAAAAATACCCATAGAGATGCAGTCGCTGGAGTTGGAGAAGGAAACGGAGAATCGCAAAGTATCGAAGCATGTAAATCGAATGGTTGGCTTGGGTTCGGGGAAGTAAGCCGAAAGACAGACGGAAAAACGAAAAAAAATGTAAATAGACAAGACAGCCATGTGGACGTCGGTTTTTGGCCAGACATTGGAAAAAATTGTGCATATTATCGTAAGGAGAGTGAGATTAAAAATGGGAATAGATTTCGCATACGAGACCGAAGACAGCGTCGAGTGCAAAAGTTGTGGAGTGTGGCAAAGTTGAAATGCACAAGTCGCAAGTTGCAAGTATATTCAGTCTCTCCTAAACTTTTCAACTCGACTTGGAGGATCCAACTTAAGCATAATGCCGTAATCTCCATTCACGATGTTTCAATGCAATCATTTGATTTGAGCTCACGCGAAAATGGAGCACTGACATTACGTATACGCAGTGTGCATTCGACTGGCATGCATGGCGGCATGCAGCAAGCCAAAAATACTCCGTTGCGAAGTGTGCCTGCCTGCCCATGCCACACTTTCGCCACCAATGTCAATGCCACCACCACCAGCACCACCACCACGACCACCGCCGCCACTCCATCGCCATCGCAACCGCCGGAGGATGCAGTGCCACACAAATCCGAGTCCAACGCCATTGCCCGGCATCGCCCCAATGCCACAGATATAAGTGCACCAGGAGAAAAGATTTACGCAATATTTAGTACAATTGAATCCGAGTTAATCACTGGCTCAGCACCTCCTAAAGTATCTGTACCGATTATCTATTTTTATACTTCCTTAGCCTACGGAAATGTTGCTAAATAGTATGCTTATTTTTCCAGTGTATCGCCAAATAGGCAACAGGCAGCTGGTGGCACGCGGCCAGAGCCGGCAAATGCAGTCTGGCAGGCGGCACGTTTCGTTTCGTTTCGTTACCATGCTGATGCTGCTGCTGATGCTGCTGCTGCTGCTGCTGATGTTGATGCCAAAAATAACGACCGAGAGAGAGGGGGGGCGGCAGATGCCGGGCCAGACGGAGTGGGGCAGGCCAAGACAGCTTGGTCATGGCCATGGCCACGAATGGGCGCCGTTTTGGGCGTTCTGTTTGGCCAAAAAGTGCAGACAAAAAGGGGGGAATGCGGGCAGCCGCCAGTGAAGGTCGCAAACTGGCAACACGGAATTTCATTAGACCGGCAGACCGACCGGCAGTTGCAGTGCAATGCAAATGGCCAACAGGCAGCGGGTGGGGAACAGAGGACAGAGGACAGAGGATGCGCTAGGCCAGAAAACAAGCATCGAAAGCGAAAGCCCCATGGTTTTGGGCCGGGACTCAGCGGGTCCCTTTGGGGCGCCACTTGCTGCACCATCCAGCGTAATCATGTAATCGGGTCTATCATTGCTGGTTATGTAAGTGGCTCTAACTGCAATTAGGGAGTGCCTGCCATGAACGGGACAATCAACTTGTCAACGCAAATTACGGCGACAAATTAGACAGCTGTCATGGAATTTTCAGTAGGAGTGGGTGCCAAAACATGGAGTTTTCACTCCTGGGCGGCGGGTCAAGGGGTCAAGGGTTGATACTCAAATGTCATTAATTGCAGTGACTATCTGGGAAGTTTTGGTTGCCATGCTGGTTCGCTTACATTTTGTGCGTAATGGAATTAAACCATAATCGCGAAAAAGTTTGCGCGATAAGCGTTATTGTGACTTTGGCTCTGTTTAAAGGAAAACTCATAAAACACTAGGTTTTTCTTCCAAGAAAAAGCTTAATTAGCTCCAAGAGAAATATATAACAAGAATTAAATAAATAGCAAGATTAATTTAAGAAGTTTCTAAGAAACTACCAAGTAATATTTAGAATTAAATATCCGAGTTTCTACTGATATGGACGAAACCCATGATGTACCATAGATGTATGTCTGTTATGCCCTACCGTTTACACTATCCAAACATTATTTTTTGACGAGTATTTTCCTTGCTTCCTGCCGTCTCAAGAACAATTCTGCTTCTTATTTCGAAAAGTGCAAACGTCAACTTTCGGATCTGTCAACTGCAGCTACTTAGTCGTCCGAGTCGGAGGCTACTTAACCCTACGAGCACAACTGTACCCCAAAAAGAACAAAGCCAGCTAAATGAAGGGCATAGAAAAATGAAGCAAAGTACACACAAAAAAATGGCAAAAATGGAGAAAAATGTGAGAAAAAAAAAAGAAATATAATGGTGAAAAACGAAACATACACATTCATACGCTAAAAAGTTTGCCCACTCGACGACAGACGCCAGTGGCGAAAGAGACGGGGATAGCGGGTGTGAAAGAGCGAGAGAGCGAGAATGCAACTTGGGCACACGTAGTAGACATTTGTGGAAAGGTTTCGGAGGAGCTCCATGGAGGTACAAAAAAGAAAAAAAGGGGGAGACCCGGGGATCCGATGCGATGTGATGTGATGTACATGGGAGCATAGAGCATGTAGACAACTGGCAACAATAACGGCATTTTCGATGCACAGAGGCGACGTTGACGAAAAGGACGCCCAGGAAAAGTGGGTGGTTTGGGTATGGTATTCCTCTTTTTTTTATTTTTGGTGGGTGGAAAGGTTGGGAAGTTTTGCTCGTCGACGACGAGTTGCCAACAGCCACTTGACACTTCCGTCGTCACATGAATGGAGCCGTAAAAATGCGACGCTTCTGCATTCGTTTCATTTTCGTATTCCCTTTTTTGTAGATTTTTACTTTTTTTCGGGGGGTGCGGCACTTTTATATTTGGTTAGAAAGTACGCAAAAAAAAAAAAAAAAGTGCAGAAATGAAGCAAATACATTCATGCATAATTTTTATGGCACTTTGAGTGATAGGGGAGGAGCGGGTGCTCCCGACATCCATTTGGGATGCCAAAACGTTTTGGGAACACGCTCTCCAACACGACTTCCTTTTCCCTGTGTGGCATGCCTCTCTGCATTTTGTGTTTTTTTTTTTTAAATTTTTTTTGGAGCATTCACTTAAATGGGTAGCTCCGAAGGGAGTTGGAGCTGGCAAATCCAAGGCGAGTCATTAACGCAGCAACAAAGTGATGATTAGTTGGGGGTGGCGCCGCGTTCTGGCCCCACTGCGGTTCAATGTACGCCCAAAAGCAAATAGGCGGTGGGCACACACAGATAGTCAACACGAACATGTGTTGGCCTGGCCAAAACAGCCTAGCCAAGATATGTACGTAGGTCAGGAAATGGGAGTGGGAATGGGATGTGCGAGTACAGTAGATACTCAGATACAGTAGATAATCATGATGGTATTGAGATTCTCTCTTTGAAATTATAATCTTAATATTATATTCCCTACAATTTATATTAAATAATTTTGTTTTTGGCAGTCGAATCCACCCGTAATTAATTTGGTATAATTTATTTTATTGAGGCGTTTTATTGAGGCGAGTGTTGATGGCTCGGCTTCTGGACATGGACATGGGCATGGATCTGACTCCGAATCGGCTACTGGTGGCCACTTGCTCAGCGTTGCATGCGGAGTGGCACGCACTTGGAGGAGGGATCTCCCCTGGACAGTGGGCAAACATAAACACTCCCCAAACCGAAAGGTGCAGACAACTTTCAGGCCAAAGAGGAGTGTTCTTGGGCCCTTTTTTGTTCTTGTTGTTCTTTTATTCTTTTTTGGTTATGATTGACTGAGTTCTGTTGAAACTTTGGCGTCTGCTGGCACGCATGAATTATAATTTTCGAGTAACGAAAAGAGAGCCCCATTGCAAATGGGGGGCTCACAATTAGCACTTTTTTCGTACTTGCTACTTGCTGCTTGCTACTTGGAGTGGTTCCAGTTGCCCTGATAAGCTGCAGACAGCAATTGCCTTGAGCAAGGCGCTTGAACCCCCGGCGATCTAGCCATCTCTTTCTGGACTCATCTGACCGTGCGGTGGCAATTTCTAGCAGCAAATAGTTTTGCGACCTAAAAGTGACAAGCCAGCCCCTTCATTGCTTATTTTCCACCGGGAGTTTCTTTTTTCGATGATAACAATATTTGCCAACTTAAAAAAAGGGGAAAAATAAGAAACGGTCATAAAATGAGCAAGTAAAGCCCAAAAGCAAAGCCTGTTTACGCACCACATGTGTGCGTGTCGCCAGAACTGCGCTGAACGGCATTATAAGATAAACATTTGTTTTTACTTTTTCATTTGGCAAATAACATAAAAGCGTTGAACTCGCTCGCGGACTATAAAGCGCAAAATTCGCCTATAGGCTAGGGAACGTAGATATTGACTGCAACAAATGTGGGGACACATTTAAGACGCTGTAATTAATTATACAAATTTGGAGAAATCAATCAGAAACTGAATAAAATGCTTTTGGAAAATTTGTAACAAACGCACTTCTGAATTTGTAGTTTTATAGCTGTATATAAGTATATGCATTTGTAATCAGCTAAAAAACCAATCTCGGAGGCATGCAGTTTTCATAAAAATTCCACTTTAAGCAGTCATGAGCAATCAAAATGAGCATTTCCCAGTCGAATCAATTGAACTGTTATCGTAACGAATATAGCCCGTATACGACGCATGAAATTCCTATCGAAACCTTCGCCAGTAACGCACTTCCACGAAATCGAAATAATCGCGACGACTTAAAGTTAAAACAAAGAAAAAAATTCCAGCGTCAGTCGTTCGGTCAATCAGTCAGGCAGTCAGTCAATCAGTCGGTCAGTCAATCAGTCATTTAGTCAAGCGAACGGCTCAAGTGCTGAAAAGTTTATTGCTCTGCGAGCGTCGGGCTTTTGCTAAGGCAAATATTGTTTAATAACATTTTTAAAAATAAAATGTACTGATTAAATGGGCAGCGGCGACAACGACAAAGTCGACGAACGTTGGCACAATGGCGGTCCTACCCCAAGACGAAATTATTTGAGCACTGTTGTTTTGATGGGGCCATAAACGACTGGAGCTACATCTATAGCTTCTATAGCAATAAGCAGGGACAGAGTTCAGATCGGAGACTAAAATCTGGCGGCCATGACCATCGGGATCGGAATATTCACGGCTGCGTTCATCGTCTGCATCACCTCCATCATCATCACGAGCAGCAGCGTGGTGCGAATGGATTCCCTTATCAGCATCATCATCTGGTTTTCCAAGCGATCTCCCTTGTTCCATATCAGGTGCTCATTATCCAAGGCATCCTGCAGCGAACAGTCCATGTATCCGTATGGATACATAATTTGCACGGTCAGGCGCCAGATTAAAACGAAAAATATACTAGGTCTGGGAATGGCGAAGTTTCTAACAGTTCTCACAACTCTGATCCTGCATAGCTCTTAACTTACGTCATACTCAAGGACCATCCGCACATCCAGCCTGTCTTTGGTAATTTAGTTGTACTAAAATAGTGGAGGAAACACTTATTCCAAGGCCTACTTGCACACCTATGTATGCAATGGAATAAAGAAGTTTAGGTACTCATTATATGCCAACATATTTTGTATACACAAAGTAGAACACATTTTACATGACTCTACGCGCCGTAAAGTATGCGCGTTATTTGACATGTAAAGTGGTTTGTATCCAAGCTGTGTTCGAGTTAGTAGCTGGCACAAAAGTAAAGCCTCGGTAAAAGGTATGTGTTTTCAATCCAACGATACCTTCAAATGTAGCAGCGTTGACCAGGGCCCACAGAGAACATCATCCGCAGCAGGGTTCATCGTGATACCATCCAGGGCCTGAAAGGCATCCACATAAGACAGGTTTTGGAGCTGCCTGCCAAGTTGACCGTGCTTGCACCAACCACTGACCCATAGCCGCCCGCACCGGCGGATTAGCAGAGTGTGACGAGATCCAGCGAACACCCTCAGCGGTGCGCAATCATCGTTGGTCTCCCCGCCTTGGGAGCAGGAACATTCGGGCAGATCTTGCAACTGAGGCAACGGATATACAGTGGGCTCTTTGAGCAAACCACCCGGTTTCATCACACGCATTCCCAGCTGACCGCTGCTGTTGAGGCCCCAGGTGTAGAGGTCTCCGAAAGCGGATATGGCCGCAGTGTGCCAACCACCGGCAGCAATTTGAGTTATCTGCAAGACTTTTAAATGTTTAACAGTCAAGATAAGTGAACAAGACAAATATGTATATACCTTGATCCCCGCCAGCGCCTCCAGCAATTGTGGCGTCTCCTCCACTCTCAGCACCGCCAGACCCAACTGTCCTCGGCTGTTAATTGTGACACAGATGTGTTTATATGATGTTTACAGATGTCAATTGTATGAAATTAGAATATGAAACTCGTTAATTAGGCCAAGAAATCTAAAAATCAGAAAATACTTAATAGCAATATTTATAGACTAAACTCATCGTAAAGTTCTTGTGGTAAAGTTCTAGTGGTATTTCTAAGGAAAAAATAAGTTTCATTAATATAAAATATATAATTAATATTGACATTGGTAAACAACTACATCCTCAATGGTTATTCATTCATGAAAAGCTTCCCTGATTTTTAATCATTTTGGGTGAAATAAACGACCCTTCCTGCAAGGTACTTTGCACAACCAACGCATTCATCATGACTTTTACTTACAGTCCATTTCCCCAGGTGAACACGTCACCGTTGGCATTGAGCAGCACGGCATGTTCGTGGCCACATTGGAGCTGCTTCACCCGAAACTGGCGCTCGGAAAACTGCTGCAGGTAGCTGGGAATGCTGTAGATGCAGTTTTCCGAGCTGATCGCTACGTTGATGTGCGATCCACACGCAATATGCTCTATGATCGGCGACGAGGGCGCCTTGGCAGCCCCAAAGATGGAGCGCTTTGTACCCGAATTGGCTCTGGGAGCAGCTTCTAGTCTAACAGCCACCAGTTCCGCCTGCAGTTTGGGTTGCACCCTGTAGAGCTGACCGCTTTGGAGTAGCACCAGGCAGTGGGATTCGCCGGCGGCCAGGGCCCTTATGTCCCCCGCTGCCTCCAGGGTCACGCACTCATTTGGGCCTTCATCCAAGAGCCCACGCAGGCACAACTTCCGGCCAAAAGCGAGGGCCGCATACCGCCAGCCGATTGAAATCGTGCACTGGTTCTGAGTCGAGACTGGCGCATTTAATTCTGTAATAAAGGCAGGACTGAATTAGTACACACACGGTGGAAACCGCCTAAAAAGATTAGCGCTAAGTTTTCAGTTTATCAATTTCTTTGCTATCTATATAAGCAATCAAAAATGCAATTGACACCAAAAGCAATGCGTAATTTACTCTATCTCTATCAATTAAATTGCAGTCTATATTCTGTGCATGAACAGGTATTTCAATATCACTAGATATCATATTAAAAGTTATCAATAATTAAACATTCTTATAAAATTTGCGTATACGTTATAGGTTCTAAGCAAGCAATCTTACAAATTCTGCTATGTTGAATCGGATACGAATGTCTGTTTTTAGAACTGCAAAGACGGTAAAAGCTGGCTCTATGCCAGTGAGTTCTATAGCGAGTGTCTACTGTAGCAACTAAGTGATCGGCGGCTTTTGTTGCCTGTTACAAACCGCTGAAGCCGGCTGCGCAGTCGACGTTGCCGCTTACACATTCATGCTGGCCAAATGCGTTGAAGCCCGTAAATAGCAGCGGCATCTTCTTCCCGTTCCCGTTCCAATTCGAATACCGCTCGACCCCGCACCACGTCCCCTCTCCTTCAATCCTTTGCAGCGGTTGCTCGGCGACCGTTGGTGCTGTTGCTGTTGTTGTTGCTGTCGGAATTTGTTGGAGCGTTGAGGGAATTTGTTTTCAGTAGTCGTGCAGCGCCGAGCCAGTGATGTTGTGTTTGGTGGTTGAAGTTGATCCAATTCTCGACTTTTCCGAGTTTTCCTGAGTTCGCCACCAGAAGACACCGTCGTCGGGCGGCCAGCGGATTAACGAATCCGAGGGGATACAGATACGGATTTAGTGATCGGAGATCGCACCGCCTCCTGGCTGATATTCCCGCGTTGATTAGACGATGGTAGGTTATCTCCCGGTGCCGTAATGGCTAATTAAGTGCCTTGTTGTTCCGTAATTGCACGAATTGTTTTCATTTTGCGATCGTCGCCATGGAAACCCGCTTCCAATACTGTACAACACTGTTTTGCTAGAGCAGAACTTTTTTCAGCACTGTTTCAAAAGTTTTCGGCGCGCACTTATCGGGTTTCAAAAGAGAAAAGGCTGGTTCGGAAAACAAAGAAACATAAATAAACGTGTTTCTATCACTTGGCAAATTAAAGACCTTGATTCTACAACATTGAAATAAATGAAATTCTTAAGATTTAGTAAATCTTAAGATAAGTAAACCTCTAAAATACTCAGTAAAAACAGAAAAAATTGTTTTTTTAAAATCAGTAAATTCAACCGGTTTTTTTTTCTTTTGACGAGCTCTTATCTCGATTCAAACAATATGTTTGTACACTTCACCAGTTGATAAGCTTTTTGCTTTCAATCACTAAACGCACGTTTCAATTGCAAGTATTTTTATACCCGTTACTCGTATATAAAGTATATATATTCTTGATCAGGATCAATAGCCGAGTCGAACTGGCCATGTCCGTCCGTCTGTCCATCTGACCGTCCGTCCGTCTGTCCGTATGAACAACTCGATCTACAAGAGGTAGAATGTTGAGATTAATTAAACGCAGCTTGTTTCCATATGTTTCCACGACCACATTTTTTTAAATGTGTTTAGATTTCTTTTTGTAATATTTTTGTAATGATGTTGTAAATGTTGTAAAAATAAAAACAAATTAAGAAATTTCCTAAGACTGAACTTCTAAGCTCCATAACTCAACTTACCTGAATCGGATTTTGAAGTGGCATACCTCTAAATGTTTCTGGCGCAATTCTCAAAATATCTGCATTCAAATTTAGAAATTTATTTTTTTTTAATTTTTTTTTGCCACTTTTTCATGATATTGGAGAAATTCCAAAAAATTTAAAAATGTCCCTAAGCCGAAGTTCTAAAATCCATAACTCAACTTATCTTAATCGGATTTTAAAGTGGCATACCTCTAAATGTTTCTGGCGCAATTCTCTAAATATCTGCATTCAAATTTAGAAATTTTTTTTTTTTAATTTTTTTGTCATTTTTTCATGTGATGATTTTGAAGAAATTCAAAAAAATTAAAAAATGTCCCAAAGCCGAAGTTCTAAACTCCATAACTCAACTTATCTTAATCGGATTTTAAAGTGGCATACCTCTAAATGTTTCTGGCGCAATTCTCTAAATATCTGCATTCAAATTTAGAAATTTTTTTTTTTAAATTTTTTTGTCATTTTTTCATGTCATGATGTTGGAGAAATTCAAAAAAATTAAAAGATGTCCCAAAGCCGAAGTTCTAAACTCCATAACTCAACTTATCTTAATCGGATTTTGAAGTGGCATACCTCTAAATGTTTCTGGCGCAATTCTCTAAATATCTGCATTCAAATTTAGAAATTTTTTTTTTTTTTAATTTTTTTGTCATTTTTTCATGTGATGATTTTGAAGAAATTCAAAAAAATTAAAAAATGTCCCAAAGCCGAAGTTCTAAACTCCATAACTCAACTTATCTTAATCGGATTTTAAAGTGGCATACCTCTAAATGTTTCTGGCGCAATTCTCTAAATATCTGCATTCAAATTTAGAAATTTTTTTTTTTTAATTTTTTTTGTCATTTTTTCATGTGATGATTTTGAAGAAATTCAAAAAAATTAAAAAATGTCCCAAAGCCGAAGTTCTAAACTCCATAACTCAACTTATCTTAATCGGATTTTGAAGTGGCATACCTCTAAATGTTTCTGGCGCAATTCTCTAAATATCTGCATTCAAATTTAGAAATTTTTTTTTTTTAATTTTTTTGTCATTTTTTCATGTGATGATTTTGAAGAAATTCAAAAAAATTAAAAAATGTCCCAAAGCCGAAGTTCTAAACTCCATAACTCAACTTATCTTAATCGGATTTTAAAGTGGCATACCTCTAAATGTTTCTGGCGCAATTCTCTAAATATCTGCATTCAAATTTAGAAATTTTTTTTTTTTTAATTTTTTTGTCATTTTTTCATGTGATGATTTTGAAGAAATTCAAAAAAATTAAAAAATGTCCCAAAGCCGAAGTTTTAAACTCCATAACTCAACTTATCTTAATCGGATTTTAAAGTGGCATACCTCTAAATGTTTCTGGCGCAATTCTCTAAATATCTGCATTCAAATTTAGAAATTTTTTTTTTTTTAATCTTTTTGTCATTTTTTCATGTAATGATTTTGAAGACATTCAAAAAAATTAAAAGATGTCCCAAAGCCGAAGTTCTAAACTCCATAACTCAACTTATCTTAATCGGATTTTGAAGTGGCATACCTCTAAATGTTTCTGGCGCAATTCTCTAAATATCTGCATTCAAATTTAGAAATTTTTTTTTTTTTTAATTTTTTTGTCATTTTTTCATGTGATGATTTTGAAGAAATTCAAAAAAATTAAAAAATGTCCCAAAGCCGAAGTTTTAAACTCCATAACTCAACTTATCTTAATCGGATTTTAAAGTGGCATACCTCTAAATGTTTCTGGCGCAATTCTCTAAATATCTGCATTCAAATTTAGAAATTTTTTTTTTTTTAATTTTTTTTGTCATTTTTTCATGTGATGATTTTGAAGAAATTCAAAAAAATTAAAAGATGTCCCAAAGCCGAAGTTCTAAACTCCATAACTCAACTTATCTTAATCGGATTTTGAAGTGGCATACCTCTAAATGTTTCTGGCGCAATTCTCTAAATATCTGCATTCAAATTTAGAAATTTTTTTTTTTAATTTTTTTGTCATTTTTTCATGTGATGATTTTGAAGAAATTCAAAAAAATTAAAAAATGTCCCAAAGCCGAAGTTCTAAACTCCATAACTCAACTTATCTTAATCGGATTTTAAAGTGGCATACCTCTAAATGTTTCTGGCGCAATTCTCTAAATATCTGCATTCAAATTTAGAAATTTTTTTTTTTTTAATTTTTTTGTCATTTTTTCATGTGATGATTTTGAAGAAATTCAAAAAAATTAAAAAATGTCCCAAAGCCGAAGTTTTAAACTCCATAACTCAACTTATCTTAATCGGATTTTAAAGTGGCATACCTCTAAATGTTTCTGGCGCAATTCTCTAAATATCTGCATTCAAATTTAGAAATTTTTTTTTTTTTAATCTTTTTGTCATTTTTTCATGTAATGATTTTGAAGACATTCAAAAAAAATAAAAAATGTCCCAAAGCCGAAGTTCTAAACTCCATAACTCAACTTATCTTAATCGGATTTTAAAGTGGCATACCTCTAAATGTTTCTGGCGCAATTCTCTAAATATCTGCATTCAAATTTAGAAATTTTTTTTTTTTTAATTTTTTTGTCATTTTTTCATGTGATGATTTTGAAGAAATTCAAAAAAATTAAAAAATGTCCCAAAGCCGAAGTTTTAAACTCCATAACTCAACTTATCTTAATCGGATTTTAAAGTGGCATACCTCTAAATGTTTCTGGCGCAATTCTCTAAATATCTGCATTCAAATTTAGAAATTTTTTTTTTTTTAATTTTTTTGTCATTTTTTCATGTGATGATTTTGAAGAAATTCAAAAAAATTAAAAAATGTCCCAAAGCCGAAGTTTTAAACTCCATAACTCAACTTATCTTAATCGGATTTTAAAGTGGCATACCTCTAAATGTTTCTGGCGCAATTCTCTAAATATCTGCATTCAAATTTAGAAATTTTTTTTTTTTTAATCTTTTTGTCATTTTTTCATGTAATGATTTTGAAGACATTCAAAAAAAATAAAAAATGTCCCAAAGCCGAAGTTCTAAAATCCATAACTCAACTTATCTTAATCGGATTTTAAAGTGGCATACCTCTAAATGTTTCTGGAGCAATTCTCTAAATATCTGCATTCAAATTTAGAAATTTTTTTTTTTTAAATTTTTTTGTCATTTTTTCATGTGATGATTTTGAAGAAATTCAAAAAAATTAAAAAATGTCCCAAAGCCGAAGTTCTAAACTCCATAACTCAACTTATCTTAATCGGATTTTAAAGTGGCATACCTCTAAATGTTTCTGGCGCAATTCTCTAAATATCTGCATTCAAATTTAGAAATTTTTTTTTTTTTAATTTTTTTGTCATTTTTTCATGTCATGATGTTGAAGAAATTCAAAAAAATTAAAAAATGTCCCAAAGCCGAAGTTCTAAACTCCATAACTCAACTTATCTTAATCGGATTTTAAAGTGGCATACCTCTAAATGTTTCTGGCGCAATTCTCTAAATATCTGCATTCAAATTTAGAAATTTTTTTTTTTTTTAATTTTTTTGTCATTTTTTCATGTCATGATGTTGGAGAAATTCAAAAAAATTAAAAGATGTCCCAAAGCCGAAGTTCTAAACTCCATAACTCAACTTATCTTAATCGGATTTTGAAGTGGCATACCTCTAAATGTTTCTGGCGCAATTCTCTAAATATCTGCATTCAAATTTAGAAATTTTTTTTTTTTTAATTTTTTTTGTCATTTTTTCATGTGATGATTTTGAAGAAATTCAAAAAAATTAAAAAATGTCCCAAAGCCGAAGTTCTAAATTCCATAACTCAACTTATCTTAATCGGATTTTAAAGTGGCATACCTCTAAATGTTTCTGGCGCAATTCTCTAAATATCTGCATTCAAATTTAGAAATTTTTTTTTTTTAATTTTTTTGTCATTTTTTCATGTCATGATGTTGAAGAAATTCAAAAAAATTAAAAGATGTCCCAAAGCCGAAGTTCTAAACTCCATAACTCAACTTATCTTAATCGGATTTTAAAGTGGCATACCTCTAAATGTTTCTGGCGCAATTCTCTAAATATCTGCATTCAAATTTAGAAAATTTTTTTTTTTAATTTTTTTGTCATTTTTTCATGTCATGATGTTGGAGAAATTCAAAAAAATTAAAAGATGTCCCAAAGCCGAAGTTCTAAACTCCATAACTCAACTTATCTTAATCGGATTTTGAAGTGGCATACCTCTAAATGTTTCTGGCGCAATTCTCTAAATATCTTCATTCAAATTTAGACATTTATTTTTTTTTTTATTTTCTTGCCATTTTTTCATGTGATCTTCAAATTTAGAAATTTATATTTTCAAAAATTTTTTTTTTATTTTTCTGATGTATGAAGTAGAAATTAAAAAAAAAGTATACATTTATTACGAATTTTGATGAATGTATAACCGAGTAGGAAGTAACTCTAGGCTAAATAGCATCAAAAGTTATCAGGTGCTGGAATTACACCGTCGAAAAACTAGATGGAATGTACACCTTGTCAGGAAAACGACTTAACTGTTAATCCATTTTAGGGTCTGCTTTCGCTGTTGCGTAAACTGAGGCCCAATCCGGAAAAGGAGGCTCGCATCCTGCTCCTGGGATTGGATAATGCGGGCAAGACCACCATACTGAAGCAGCTGGCATCGGAGGACATAACCACGGTGCGTATAATGGCGGCGAACTTCTTCCGCTTTCCCCATAAAATACGGAGTGAAATCCCGCAGGTAACGCCCACGGCGGGATTTAACATCAAGTCCGTGGCAGCCGATGGGTTCAAACTGAATGTGTGGGATATCGGAGGTCAATGGAAGATACGTCCATATTGGAAGAACTACTTTGCAAATACTGATGTGCTGGTAAGATGATTGTAATAGATGTAAGCTCTATGTAGTAAGCTAAATATGTGGATTACTTCAGATCTATGTAATTGACTGTACGGATCGGGCTCGACTGCCCGAAGCGGGTAGCGAACTATTCGAAATGCTCATGGACAATCGGCTGAAGCAAGTTCCCGTGCTGATTTTCGCCAACAAACAGGATATGCCGGATGCCATGAGTGCCTCCGAGGTGGCTGAGAAGATGAGCTTGGTGCAATTGCAGGGACGAACCTGGGAGATCAAGGCCTGCACCGCTGTGGATGGCACTGGACTCAAGGAGGGAATGGACTGGGTCTGCAAGAACATGAGAAAGTAATCTAAATTATTGTAATCGTCGCCTGTTAAGTTGTCCCTAAGAACATTTTGTTTCACCTCAACAATAATATATCTAATATGAAATAAAATATAAATATAAACTGACTATTTAGTTGGGAAGGCTGAGCTAGTTAAGTCATTTATCTGAACTGAAGAGTCACACATCAAATTCCGATCCCCATGTGTTTTTACGGACCTGTTTCGCTCATAAGAAAGATCCTGCCCGCAGGCTCTCAGAAATCCTGTCTGCTCATATTGGGATTAGACAATGCGGGAAAGTCCGCCTTGACAGCCAGCCTGGCGAAAATGTTCAATGGAGATGTAAGCCATATTTGTGATGAGACTTTCTCCATATATATTGTTTCCAAACCATTTTTTCAGTCCAAGGAACCGTCCAAACAAGCCAGTGAATGGAGCTTCACAATCAATAATTGCAGAGTGCAGTTGTGGGATATTAACGGGGAACTGAAGAATCGCCAGTTCTGGCCAAACTATTATAAAAAAGTGAAGGTTTTGGTGAGACGAGTCTCTTCGTAGAACTTATAGATTTGACTATAAGCCCCGAACCGTAGATTTTTGTACTGGATAGCACAGATGCACTGCGGCTAAGCGAGGCTCGCTGTGTTTTATGCGATGTTCTGATGCACCAGGAACTGGACAAGGCTCCTCTGCTGATCCTGTCCAACAAAAAGGACGCCTCGGGATCTCTGTCCATGTCCACAGTTATCGACTTGATGGGTCTGGATCGCCTAAATGGTCGAGATTGGACTTTTAAGGAATGTTCAATGCGGACAGGATCTGGTGTTCAGGTATATGTAGTGATCCCTATTTTCTAAATTCTTTCATTTAATATGTACTGATGCCCTAGGACATCGTCAACTGGATTAACGAGAAGATCCATAGGAACAGAAAGTGATTTATCACATTTTTATATTTTCAGAAATCTGCCAATCTAAATAGTATATTAAATATATATTTAACGTACTTTAGTAACCGCAGTTTGTTACATTAGTATTATAAGAACCTTTTGCCTCAAATAATGATTCATTTAGTTGGCAGATCGGCAAACACTATTTTAATTAGTACATTAATGCAGCCATTTGCTAATCAGTGATTTGACATTGACCCCTGTCAATAATTGAAAAACTCGTGGCTGAGTAGCAACATTGTGGGGACAAAGCCCTTTTGCATTATCAGTTATTAGTTGTTGCTGGTTTTGGGGCCTATAAAAGAGTAAGTTATAGAATTGATTGGCACAGTTTAACAACAGTCGTTGCAATGAACTCAACTCTTGTGATTCTACTTATCTCGGCCCTGGTTCTGGTCCAGGCCAGGAATATTCGTTTTTCTGAGGAGGATAACTCGTCCCAAGTTTCACATCCGCACTCCGTCAACTGGCCCTGTGATGTGGGCCACTTCCCCGAGGCCTACATTCTGATGCACAAGGTGGATAAGCGACTGGAACGCATTGACGACGAGAGTACCAAGGAAAGGATCGGAAATTACGCCGTGAGTCAGTTGAAGCAGTGCATCTTGGATGGCCAGATGGACGTGCACTGTGTTAGGCGTTCGATTGGATTCACCATGTCATTCATTCACCACCAAATGAGCCTGGCCAATGGAATGTAAACTTAAAACCTGTGGTAAAATAAATCGTAGACATAAACTATAAAATTTTAACTGTGTTTTCTAGCATAAAATATAATATATCGGTGATATATATGTTATATATGATATATGGTATATATACCGATATATGTGATCGGCTGATATAGTTTTTTGGTAAAATAATTTTATTAAACCAGTTCTTCCAAACAAACTTGTTTAAAAAATATCAAAATAAATAACTTAAGCTTTAGTAAAAGTACATTTAAAATCAACTTTGAACTATGGTGTTGGGCGAATTCGCATTCGTTTCACCTGGGGCTTGGTGCTGAAGTTTATGGCATTTTACCAGCTCGGCCTGCTGGCGCTCCTTTTCCATTTTGGCGAACTTGCTGCCCATGTAGAGCAGCTCCTTGAATCGATTCTTTCGCCGCTCGTCCATGCTGTATCGTCGCAGCATATCGCGTCTGTCCACAATCGACATGCAGATGTCCTGGCAATCCCGCGACGGCTTGCAGAAGCTCCAGGAGCCGAAAATGGTGTCCACACAGCCGCAGGTGCGACAATAGCCAACAAAGTGTCCGATCAGATTGGAGTTCGCCTTGCGAAAGGATAGCGATATGGGCCCACCCAGGGTCATCATAGTTTGCCCAGAGAAATGCCAATCGGTGAGATTATCCAGGAGATCGTGGGCTCTCGGCGGCACTGTCTCCTGAACACTGATATTTAGTTTAATGCCTTGGTAATTGGGGGCTTTCTGTTCGGCCGCATTCTTTAGCTGCGATTTGTTCATCTTGACGCACTGTCGTCTAGCTCTGTGATAGGCACGATCTTTGTGTTGGGAACAGGTGGGTTTTTCCTTTTCTACACCACCTGAAGTTGGCGGGGACTTGATGTTTATGCGAATGCCTAGCACTAGAGATTCCCAGGATCCATTTAGATCGCAGGGGGCACCTGAAGTTTCAAACTTTATATACATGAATCTTTGCTCTGGCGCCCCTTCTTACCATCAGCTGGGTCCACGAAGCAGCAGGGCAGCTTCTTCTCCTCCTCCTCATCCGACGATTGATTGGACTTGCTTGCCTGAATGCTCTCCAATCGTTCCAGGATCTTATCTAGAACCGGGGAAATCCCCAACTGGTCCTCTGGCTGTTGTTGTGGCGCCTGCGTTGGTGTACATGGGATGATCTCTGATCCCTTTTTGAAGCTAGTTCCGATCTGACTTGCTTTTAAATGACATTCATAACTTCTAATGGATTTACAGCGATATCATTACTGACTTACCTGTCTGTATATGGCTGGGTGCAAATCTAATTCTGCCATCGACAGGATTTTGACCGGTTCCCACAATCCGTTGAGCCACCTCCAAAGGCGACAGGTTCATTTGAGTGGCCATGCTATCAATGACATTATTACTACCCAGCTGTGAGGGCTGATTGACTAGAACCTCTGGAAACGGTGTTTGCAAAACGGATCCAGCCGGATTATTATTCAAGGGTATATTCCTTTTCATGGGTGTCCTGGCAGGATGTCTTCCTTTCTCCAAGACCTCCTTCCACCAACTTTGCTTGGTTTTCAACGCCTGATTGAGGCTATCGATTTGCTTCTGATACTCATCCACCAAGTTAAAGAATGAGGTATGCTTGATGGCCTTTAGCCCACCAATTATCTGCTTGGGATCCAGTCCTGAGAAAACCGATTGCCAAGGGTTTATAGCTTGTGTTTTTGGCACAGACTCCACCACTTTAATTTCCGTTTTGAAATCAGATTTAGAGTAAGTTACTTTATCGGGCTTCTTTTCGGGCACTACATTCTCTTGAATGGGTGTACTAGATGACTTGTATTGCGGCTTACTCTCCAAAGTTTTCTTAGGCGACTCATTGAGACCAGGCTTTATCAATGGAATGTCATTCCAAACCAGCTGCCGATTTTTGGAGTTTGGTAAATAATAGGGTTTTAGGCCGCCATTCTCATTACTTTCCTTGTTCATTTTGATAAATGTTTCCAGGGCCTTCAGATAGTTATTGTTTTGCGGAGTTTCAATTGGGGCACAAGTCTTAGTTGGAGTTTTACTTTCTGGTTCCTTACATTTTGGAGTAGTCGCTTTTGGCTTATCACACTGACTTTTTGGAGTTTCAATTGGACCACAAGTCTTAGTTGTAGTTTTATTTCCTGGTTCCTTACATTTTGGAGTGGTCGCTGGAGTTGGCTTATCACACTGACTTTTTGGAGTTGGTTTTTCAATCGGAACACAGTTCTTGGTTGTGGCCTTACTTTCTGCTATGTCACATTCAACAGTAGTCGCTTTTGGGTTTTCACACCGACTGGGAAGGATGTCGTCGCTGTTCATCCTGCGACGCGACTCGTTATCCAAGGGATAATCGGCTTCACTGGTAATATGGGATTCTCTGGGAAATTTATGATCACTGAACAGCTGACAGAAGCCCTTCTTATACTCATCGTAAAGTCCACCAGCCTTAATGCTTGATCTTCTGGAGTTTATATCATCTATCAACCTTTTGAAAGCATTGGTAGCACTTCCGGGCTCCACATTTTCAAAGATGCCGGATAGATCATTTTTCTTTATAGCTCTCAATGATGCTCTACTATCTGTTACTAGAAGAGCATCCTGCTTGATTTGCTTCTGCAAATTGGGTTCCATTTCTTCGTTTATTTTTTCGGCCAGTTCTTTGACTAAATCGCTTTTCTGAAGACGCTCAATCACATCCATTAAATCTGATAATGCACTTAATTTCACTGATCCCGACGAGCTTAGAGGTTTCGCTGGAACAGACTTGGAGTTCAAGCTTGGTGTTGGCTTTTGCCAGGCCTTCAAGAAATCGTTGTATATGCGATTGAGCTCGAAAATTCGGCGTTCTCCAGGATCCTTGACCTTTTCTGGTGTTTTAACTTGAAGCATATCTTCGGGGACATCCAGTTTAAGCAAAATCATACTACTTACCAGAGGGAGCTTATCTTCTGCTTTAGCTTCGACCATTGCCTTAACAGTTTGATTTTCTCCATTTCCAAATGGAAGACGAGCAAGACAGTTTCCCGATGTCACGAACCGATCATCGGTGGCATCGAATTTGATATTGGAAAATTCTAAAGTATCTTTCTCTTTAGCCATTAGTTTTTCGGTTTTCTTGGGTAGCGAAGTGACATCCCTTTGAGGTGGTACAGGATCTTTAGATTCCATTTTTGCCTCGACATCGACATTACCGGATCCATCCCCCTTTAAACGCTCCCGATAGGCATCATATAGTCTGTTGTAATGTTTCGGGCTCAAGTTGACCTGCATTCTCGACCAAGACGAGGCCTCCTTATGAGACATACTAAGTTCCTGATCCTCTGTCTCAGTGCAACTGATTGGAATCAGATTGGGTATTACTAGTATGCAAAAAATATGTAGCAGATGTCTGGACATCTCATGTTTCGGTTTCGAATCTGTGGTATATTGTGACTATTGACAGTTTTTTTACTTAATATAATTGTTCAAAATATCTGACGTTATTCCAAAAAGTGTATAGATGGTTTGTTACCAGAAGTGAAATCGAAATTAAAGGTTTATCTACCTTTTGAGCCAAATAATCAAGGCCTTGCTGCACTATTCACTAGTTCACTAATTTCATATTTATTGCCACAGAAATTTTGATCATGAAACAAAGCTCTCAGATTTTCCTATACCACCTTATTGCCTTCATTGTTGCAGTGTCCAAATGAGGATTCATCCTGGGAGAACACATCACCTTGCTCACTCTTCATATGTACAATGCCCTGCTCCTGGTCATTAATTTGCATATAAGGATAATAGATGTTCCTGTGTGGCTTGTAGGACTCTTTAATCACCTGGGGCGATGTCCAACGCAGCAGGGAGTGGGGAGTGCCCAACTTATCACTGGTGCCGGTCATGTGTCCCGCTCCAAAAGGCTGCTGTCCCACCATCAATCCGGTGGACTTGTCATTTACATTTAAGTTGCCCACATTGACTCTGAAGGCATCGTATGCTTGCTCGATGAAGCTCTCATCCTGGGCAAACACCGAACCTGACAATCCGTGATTGATCTGGGCCACCTTATCCATAGTCTCCTTGAGCTTATGATCCGGATAGACGTAGACACCGAGAATCGGTGCCAGCAGCTCTTCCCGACATATGATATTGTCCAGATCCTTGACCAGTACAACCGTTGGATCTACGTAATAACCACGTCGCTTGTCGCAGCTTCCTCCAACGAGGACCTGGCAAGTGGGACTCTGGTCGATGTACCTCAGCCACATGTAGATGCGATCGTAGGCCCGTCGGTTGATCACCGCCGAGCAGAAGCAATCGCAGTACGTGGCATCCTGTCGTACGACCAGGGATGCAGTGATCCCTAGAAGTGGCCTACGTATGTGATTCTGCCACAGGGACTCCGGGACATACAACATCGAGCAGGAGGAGCACTTCTGGCCGGCGTACTCAAAGGCAGATCTTATCGTACAGGCAACCGCCGTTTCCGGTTCCGCCGAGGAGTGCACGAAGTGAAAGTTCTTTCCGCCTCCCTCGCCTACCAAACGGGGATAGTTCTGGTAGAAGTTGATATTCTGGGCGACCAGTTGCCAGAGCACCTTGAGAACCGTTGAGGTACCAGTGAAGTTAATCCCCGCCAATTTCGTATGTTGCGTTACTACGGATGCAAACGTTGTCTCCTCGGCGGGCACAAAGTTCACCACACCATCGGGCACTCCAGCTTCCCGCAGGGCCTTGAACACGAAATAGTTGGACAGGATGGCCGAGTCGGAGGGCTTCCAGAGCACCGAGTTGCCCATCAAGGCGGGCGTATATGCCAGATTGGCAGCGATACCCGTAAAGTTGAACGGACTGATGGCAGCCACAAATCCTGCAAATAAAATGTTATACGCGCATAGAAACCCATACTAATTGTATAGAGACCCACCTGAAAGTCCCCTCAACCGCATGGAATTCCGGCATTTTCTTTGGGTGTCGCTAATGGGTTCGTAGTTGGCCAGCTCACGCAGGAAGACGGGATTAATGCGCATAAAGTCCACCAGCTCGGCCACATCCATCTCCGCCTGGCGCAGCGTTTTTCCCTGGCCCAACATCGTGGCCGCAATGATATTGTAGCGGTATCTTCCGGCTATCAGCATCGCAGCCCGTTCCCAAATATCAATGCGATCACTAAGACGGACCTTGTCCCACTTCACCTGCGCCTCCACACTCTTATCGATGGCCATTTGGATGAGCACGCGGTGGGCATGGCCGTAGTGGGCAATGGGCTGTTGGATGTCGTAGGGCAGTACCTGTTGGAAGTCCTCCTTGGCCTGGAACTCCTGGCCATTAATAACGATTGGAACGTGCTCTACCCTATTGAGGACGCCCAGCAGGGCGGTCTCCAGCTCGTTGCGTTCCTTTGAATCCGCATCATACTGAAGCAGCTTCTCGTTGGCCACCGCCTCATCCAGCGTAAAGTGCTCGGATAGCTCGGGTCTCTTGCTGGTACTTCTAACAGACACGAGGCTGGAATTAGATTAAAAGTTAAAAATAAAAGCAAATCAAAATAGGCGCAACTTTCGATTAATGATTTATAGCTATAAAGTAGCTAGTTTTCGTGATATCAGTCTGGCATTATCGATAGGCAGAACAGCTGTGGATTCGATAGGAGCGCAAAAATAATAACAAAACCACTGAAAACCAATTGTTATTATTTTGTGATGCAATAGTTTCAGGATTTGGACACAAAATGCAGCTTACCCGCCTTTTACTGAAGCCTCGAGCCTCGGAAGTATTGAGCGCATATTTGAAACAATGCCATGAGCCACCTTGGACATCATATTTCGTGAAGGTAGGACTTCCTTATCACCAACCGAGTATTTTGACCGGATCTAACGAGGATTATGCTCCAAGCCCAGTTCCACGATGTGGCCAACGATCAGAGGGGAATGTCTCACTTTAATTGGACCCTGGATAGCGGCACCAACTACCACATTCTGCGCACCGCCTGTTATCCCTATATGAAGTACCACTGTAGCAAGCGGGAGGTGCAGGATCTTTGGCTGGAGGACAAGTTCTTTCGCTTCCTTAAGGTGATCAATTTGGGTAAGTCCAGCAACCGTACTATGCTACATTAGCGTGTGGTCACTTGGAAAGGTGATATGTCCTGTAATGAATCGCAAAATTCATACTGGAATGTCCTTTTTCGAGTTTAAGTACACTCCTAAGAGACAGCTCTTATGTCCCTAAATTCTGCACAGGCTTACCAATGCTCTTCTATGGACTGGCTGCCATTCGTCTAATTAGTCACACAGAGATCGTTCATGTCAGCGAGACGGTAAAAGTTCCCATATACTTTCTATATCCCGAGGACAAGGGCTCAAGCTTTTGATTTGATTTTGAAACAGCCAAAATGTGAAATGTGAAGACAAGCCGTCTTATCCAAGTACATAATATTTCGTAAAAGTAAATGGAACACTGGATACTTATCATCCGTATATGTATTTGTCTTTTTGAGATAACTACACTTTACATTACTTCTTCACTTTGTGTGGCTACTTGACTTAGTGTTATGTTAAATCTATTAATTGAAACCAATTATTTAAAGTTACCGAAAACAACATTTGACTATTTCTTGGAAATGGCCAACAACAACAACCCAGAACAACACGCATTCAACAAGCATGAACTATTAGCACTGGAACATCTTATGTTTTGCAATCTGTCGGATGATTTTCACAGGTCTCATCATAGTTATCCAGGAGCAGGGCCTTCACAGACGCCTCAAACTGAGTCAGTGAACATGGGGCATCGCAGTTCGGAATGGTCAGCTCCTTGGGGAATTTGTCTTCGCTGTTGTAATAGTAAACCAACTGCAAGAAAGCCCAAACTGGTAAGAAACCCTGAGTTAATAGTACCACAAAATCACCAACCTTCACCTCAAAGTCTCCATCACTGAAGGACTTGCTGTGATGCAGCTCGAACGCCAGTGCCGATGCATATTCCGGAAGCTTGGTAGTCTGATCCAGTATCCCCAAGGAATTCATCACATTAACCAAAGTCACATCATGCCCGGAGTACAGGAATATTTTGCGATCGGGATTGAGGTTCCTCTTGCGCTTATTCTGCATTTTGTTGAGTATATCCGTTAGGAAGGCTCCACCTTTAATCCGCTTCATCAGATTTGTTTCGGTGAAAAGCATATAGCTACGTTCAGCTAGTGGCCTAATCTCCTCGGGGTATATATTCTCGGTCCAATCGGGCAGTACCAGATTAGCCTCCTCCTCGATTCTAAGTGTGTTATAAAGTAGCTCCACATCCAGTACATTTGAAATGTTCTATGGGGATAATTTGGAGTCAGGAATAAACAGAGAAATAGATCGTATGGTATAAGTGAAAATAACAACCAATATGGCTGCAACTCTCTCCCACCTTGCCTGTGTTCTTGGTTAGCAATTTGTACAGCTCCAGGTTGTCCTCGTTCAGCTTTTGGAGCTCAGGAGGTGGGGATTTGTAAAGCTTCTGCAGAATGTGGTCGTACTTCGCACACGGTTTTCTTTGGGCCAATAGCTAATTGAGATATCATAGTGTATGTTGATGACTTGCACTTGCCTAATGGATATACGATTGCACTCACGATATCTTCATTGCGAGATAGCGTATTGACAGCCACCGGCTGCCAGGGAATGGGCAGCACATTCTTGTTCTCCAGCGGCGGCATCATGCCCGCCAAGACGGTCTGGGCGCTCATCTAAAAGATAACACACGGCCAACTGATTAGGGCACCCCCATCTCGGGCAGATAGCAAATGGTTTTAGAGGATTTCTTATCGAAACGATTGACGCACCACACAGCGCTCCGCCGCCGAGCTGAGGACATGCACCTGTTGCTGGGTGTACAGGCTGTTCGGGGGCAGCAGCCGGTAGTAGCGCATGCGCAGATTCCTTCCCAGGTTGTACGCCTGCAGGCTGCCTTTCTGTCATGTGTAAAATATCAATATCTTTATCAAAACATTCTACATAGTATTGTACTTATGAGGTGTTTAAAGTTATAGTGTCATACATCAGCATATATCAGTTTCATATATCTAAAAACGCTGCAATGGTTTCAATAGTTTGGAACATGGAATGGAAATCAAATAAGTTAGGTGTTATAAATATACTTAAGCACACTGTTTTATATTATTTACATGATCACAGTTGATTAAATACTTTTTAAAGACTACCGTTGAATAAATACATTGCAAAGTGTAAAAATTCGTACGATAAAATGTGTTAATTGAAAAATAAACAAGCACAAGGGAGATCGCTATAGTCTAGCTCCTCGCCTATCAGATACCCCTTACTCAGCTAGTAGAATGGCGATCGAGAAATTGGCATATAAACAAAAGGAAACAAGAGGGAAGGCCATAGTCCAGTTCCCCGACTATCAGATACCGGTTACCCACAGCTAGTGAAAGTGCGAAAGAGAAATTTTCAAAACACACCAATTATATCGACAGAAATGGGCGTGGCAACTCATGTACATATGCAAAAAGGATGTTGGGCGATATATGGTATACTAACCGGCGTGAGGGCTCCCATCCCGCCCTGCCAGTCGTGGGCTGCGTGCGGATCCAGCGGATAGAAGCCACTCGGATTCTTGGCCCCATGTCGGAACAGCTGGTGGTGGGGATTGATAAACACAGTGCTCAGTTTGCGATGTCTACAGCTTAATGGCCGAGATGGCGGCAGCTTACTATGGATATCATGCGTAGATTCCGCAAACCCTGCTCGTCGTTGCTGTCGCCGAACACAAAGTATGCCATCATGACAAAACAGAGGGCACTTCCCAGAGCGATCACCGATATTTTGGTGCCGCGTCGCGATTTGCAGTCCATTATTAGAGGGTAGGCTCTGGGTGGCTCTATGCTCCTGCTGCAGTTGATCGAGAAAATATATTTCAGATTCGCAGCCTAAAAATAGTTTTTTGTTTATTTTATAGCGAGTGTTTTCGATTTCGCTGGCCCGCTGGCCCGAAACAAATAATAATAAACAAGTACAACAAACACAAGTCACGTCCGATGGCAACAAAAGCCGTATAACAACTGAGCGGCTGTCGATGGAGCGCTGCCCCACAACCAGAAAGAGAGGGAGCGATATGAGGCGAGAGAGAAGGCTATACAAAACAGAAAGAGGGCGATAGAGACAATCGGAGAGACTGGGAGACAAGTTTTTCATGTGATTTTGAGAGAAGTCTTTGAACATGTGCGAATAATAATTTAATTAGTCGCTCATTGGCAGTGCAAATTGGGTGTCGACTAGGTGCTACTGTGTACTATATGGGGCGTCTATCAATTTGCACTCATGTGAAAAACATTTGAAAAGAAATCCTTATTGTTCAGGTTATTTGTCTTCGGACTTGTGACATGTCATTATATCTGCCTTGCGACAGGGCGATCCCCATATTGATACTTATAAATATCTATAAAATATATATATTTTTGATCACTACAAATTGCAACGATAAATCAAATTGGGTAACGTTTCTGGAAATATGTAGATCTACAGTCGAACGTAAACGCTGAGATATCTATTTTCATGATTTGGTGGGTGGCAGTTTCTCGTCATCATCCTCGGATTGTTCGCTGGTGGGTTCCTCCACCACGTAACCCTGCTCGGCTGTATAGATGCGCTTTTGCGATACTTTCCTACGCTTCCTGGGTTCCGATTCGGATTTAACATATTCCCCCGATCCTGACTGCTCGCTGATCTCCACCGATGAGCAGCTACTTGATGTACGCTGGGAATCACCAGATTCATCAGCTCCGGCGGACTCCGAATTTGAAGGGTTGAAGCAAAGAACAAGCTCTGGAATCTCATAGCCGTATCCCTCGTCCTCGGTGAGTTCATCCTCCATTTGAACATATTCTCGAATTGGCTCATGGAAACATGGGCTGGAATCGATGGTAGTACAGATTAGACCAGTTTCCACATTTTCGCTGGTTGGCAGAGCCAAGTGCGTTTGCATATCCGATAGGTAGTTGATCACGCCCATTGGCCCGGCTACATAGGCGGCATTTCCAGCGGGGACTGACCAAGTTGATGAGCCACTGGTCAGTACTGGGTCCATGCTATAGGAACGGATTGCACTCGCAGCACATTGAATCACCGGATAGTCATAAATCCCGGGCATAAAGTACTCGTAGTATCCCAATATGTTGCGGCGTCGCCTCGATCCAGACATTTTGACCAGTTTGCCTGTGAATAAATAGGACGCCCTGCTAATCCCCGATATCTTATCGATATTATGAATAGTGCTCGTTGGAGGAGTCCTCGACTGGCGCCAGTTGATTGACAATGGTCAGTCTCATTCGCAGAAAATAGATGCGAACACTCAATTGCCGCATGAAGTGTAACTGCAGGCAAAGTTCAAAGATCATCAGTTTGGGGGAATCGAGGGCCAGTTCTTTAGAGGATTAGGAAAGCTGCGTTAGCGATAACGATGGCGGCGTTGTCCAAATAGGGACTTTGTCTGCCGGAAACTGAAGATGAAACAAATTTGGAATTTCATTCGACGAGAATTTTGAACTTTGCTTAAATAGCTTGCCTTAGTTACATTCGCACACTACCATCACAGACAACCAAGTGGCACAAAACAATAGGTTTTCTAGATGTTTAAAAATATTCTTATTGATGTTGGCATCTCAGTTGACTTGATTAGCTTTCAAGTTTATATACAATTTTATATAGTATTTTTGTTTTCAGATTGTACTCTACGTGTCTACTTTTCCTAACTTTATAGACAGTCTTTATTTATACACTTAGTAAGCGTAGTGCAGCTTCAAAAATGTGCGGCATTAATGCTAGTTTCCCCCGAGGACACACCTTTCCGTGTCCAGATCCTCGTCCAAATCAATCCGCTGGCAATCGTTATGTCCCGCGGAGCAGCGTTTGTACAACAGGTAACTGAACCACACGATCAGTGGAAGTAGAGCCAATCCCAGAGGCATTAGGAAGAGCAGCAGGAAATCCCGCGGATCGCTGGTCGGAACTCCCTCATCTGTACTATCGTAGTCCGACCAGTACTCCCTCTCCTGGTCCGTATAGTCCGTGTCGGGCAGCACATCCAGAAAGGCTTCCCGGATCTTATGGCCTCGATAGCTGATGGCCACGCAGGCGTAGTGTCCGGCATCTCTTAATCTCACTCCGTCCAGTATCAGTTTGCTGAGGTATATCTGTGGCGACATCAATTTTTCGGGATCTGTGGACAGTAGCTCATATGTTCGACCATTGTAGCGGACAATATGGGTGCTGAAATTGGAGGTTGTGGGTGCCGTGGAGGCTTCACCAGCTGACTGAGTTCCCACGTAGGTCTGTCGGCGAAACCACTTGATTGTGGGATGCTCCTCGCTGTGAACCCGGCACTGCAACACCACCCTACTGCCCACCAACGTGGTCTTGTTGTTGGGATACGAGTCCACAAACTCAGGGGCAGCCAATGAGGTGTCTACAAAGAGATTGTATAAGTAATCTGCGATTTGGTGATACAAATACTTACTCTTAACATCCAGCTGATAGGTGCGAACCAGTTGAACGTCCACAGCTTGAGCCTTATCCCAAATGTGCGGATTAATACTGCATTTGTAGAGTCCCGAATACCGCTCCGTCACATTCCGCAGCCAAAGTTCCGGACGACAAAGACTCGGCTCACATGGCAGAGCAGTCCATTCCTCCACAGAGCCCAGTTGATGACAGTTGTTTTCGCTGCATTGCTGAAATAGGTGAACACTTATCAATGGTTACTAACAAAGGTAGCAAGAGCAGTACTTACCTTGAAGTACCAATGTATCTTGATGTCATTCAACATACTCTCATCCACCAGACCTTTGAGATTGCACTGCAGTCTGACATCGAAGCCGGCTCTCTGTTGAATTAACTCGGTGTTCTCTGCACCGGCAAAAAATAAAGATATAACAAAAATTCCGAAACATTCAATCAAGGCAATGGCAATTGTTTACTATTTTCTGTGTCAATGATACCCAAATTGACAGTATCTTATCATGCGCCGCGCTGCCCGAAATTGCGATTAACCTTCAGAATGTTTTGACGAATAAAAGCGGAAACGTGTAGTTACAAAAGCACTTCTAAATGAAAATCTCCATGTACTCGAATCTTAAATGACCCCTATAGTAAAATCGAAATTTGTGTACCAACTCACCTGTATAGTCGACAAAGAAGCCGTGGGATTGCTGAAAGCCGCAGAGACAAATGAGAATCAATAGGCAGATGCGGCCGGACCACAGATCACAAATCATTGGATCCATTTCCATTTGGCATATCCGCGATATTATCTTCCACTTGCTATCGTCAAAGGAACCTGTCGAACACTTTGATTAGTTACTTTTGGGGCACACACAATGGTTTGGCATTTATTTATTTGAATTCCATTGGCTGGCCGGCCATTCGTTTATTTCCCAAATGATCGATTTTCATTTAATTTCTTAGCAAACAAACGAGGCTCTCCAAAGTTTCTATTTATTTATTTGGTCTACGCGGTTGCATTGCCACTGCTTAGAGCACATTTTTCACACATTTTATTGTGCGCTGTCGGCAATGAGTGTAAAAATCCACTTTTGTTTATTTACTTGGCCATTCGAAGCGAACGGGTGCTCTACATTGGCTTACACACACAAACACTGGGCCACAAATCCTTGGTGCTCATATATATAAATTATCAGAATTTCGCTTCCCATTTATTAATAAATAGTGAGTGCCATTTATGCAACAATAAATCATTGCCGCAGCGATAATGCCCGTTTATCAATTGATTGGCGGCTACCACAGAACTTTCGGGGCCACTCGATAAATTGAGAAGCGCGTAGAAGGGCTGTAACTGCTCGAATCGTATTTTGATGAGATGAGATGCGAAAAACTATCTGTCGGCAGTGCAGATAACAGATCTACTTCGGGATAATATTTTAAAATAATGCTCGATTGAGAGAAACATAGAATGGCAAGTTATTTCAATCATTATATTCTTTAAAAATTCTGTTTGCATTCTATGGTGAATGTATCTTCTTTAATTGGAATGACACGAACCCATCATTTGTCGACCACAAAACACGAAGCTCATAAAACACTTTTAGTACCAGGGACGTTTGTTTATGCATTTCGTTTTCCAAGATCTGCGATCTCTTCCCATTGTGATGGAGATTTATCTGTGTTGCCCCACTTGATTGGCATCGACTCAATTGATTTATACGATATCATTTATTAGGTGAAAAGTTGATTGTTTAATAGACAATTTGTTTACCGACCGGACCGAGGAGCAGTGGAATCAAAATAGGAACAAACACACTCACTTTGCCTAAAACCAGATGGACAACTGACACGAAGACTTCATAATCGCCCGGTTTTCGCTGATACGGCGTTTTAATTTTTCCACTAGTTGAAACTCCTGCTCTGCTTCTCCGGTTACTTTATGCCACACACGCGATGGTCACTGAAATTTCGCGAATTTCGCAAAATTCTAGATTTTCCGCGTCCGGAGATCCAATTGCTTCTGCTTTCCACCCGACAATTGGCTATATATTGGCTCCGTAAATATTGTAGCCACAACGATCTTGCGATCGTTTTCTTCCGTATGCGATCCGTTCGCGGGGCTGGCTATCAACAAACTACTGTAATACACGATTCGAACAAGTGTTACCCCTCGGTGGCGACGGCAGCGGCCACCATGAGCATTGCACTGCAAGAAAATTCCAGTGATTACAAAATTACCTGGAATTGCTGTAGTATCCCAAAGATAAAATCATATTTTATGTTCAAGGTTAGTACTTTTGTTTGAAAATGCAAAGTGAATACTCGTATTTCAATTCGCACTTATGGGATATACCTCTGGTTTCTGCAAGTGCACTCTTGCTCTAGGTGCTGGCATGGCTGGGAACAACAAAATAAATGTGTTTTATAAGCAGTTTTGCTTATCGCATATCAATATCGGTGCGTAAATATACAGTAGTCGATGGAGTGGCCCGATATGGGCCCAGTGCCAGACACCTATGTACATATCCAGTGAAGGCACCGCACGGCTATTGCCACTTCCACATCAAGTCGAAGATTAGAGAGCATTGCGGCTGGCTGGTCTGCTTAGCTTTATCGGGCAATCCGAACAATTTTCTAAACCATAGATGGCTGATAACATGTAAATTCGTACTGGTATTTAAACAGCTCTTGTGCGACGAGTCACAGTGGTTTTGGGTTTTGTGATAAGCCATAGCTAGCGTAGCAAGCCATTGATTGCCGGGGCTTATCGGGTGGTGGTCGCTTGATAAAACGGCCAATAAATGGAGCAGAAGCCACCAGCAGCTCGACGCCGAAACTCCGCGATACCAATTATGGCGTCTATAGATTGCTACCAATGGCGACAACAATGGCACCAATTTGACCAGCTCCAATGCTCCCAATGCTCGCAATGCGCAACAAATCCAAATTAATGCCCAATGGGCCGGTCAACAAAAGCCCCCCGGCCAGACCTCTTGATAACTCCCCGGTGGGCATGTGAAACTGATTAATGTGGCATTAAAAATAAATCTCAAGTATGTGTTTGGGTTTTCAGTGAAATTGGTTATTTTTGGGTAAAATTATATTTATGGTATTTACGATAAATAAACAATTGCGCTTATTATTTCTTTGGCTCTTCCAGGAGCCGCAGACATGGAAACAAGTTCCCTTTGGGTTTAGCTTACAATTCCCATTGAAGTCAGTATAAATTGATCGAGTTATTGGTTTTCAAGCCAAGCATATATAGGTTTGGATTTTGGCTCGGCATCAAGACGAAATGGACGACTTGTATTTGATGAACAAAGAAGAAAAGTTGCAGTATGATACCTCAAATTTTGACTTTAAGTCCCTTAGCTTTAGACAAGATGCGGCTGTGAATTCATTAGGCCTACGAATGGATCGATTTACAAGTGAAATTGAGCGAAATGCGAATTATGCCTATTTCATGCGGGATACCTCTCAGCTTTATCAAAAGATGGCTAAAACAGATACCAAGATCAGTGCGAAATACGAGCAAAACTGTGAGATGCCTAGAAAACTGGAATGCTCTGTTGAAGATACAAATGATAATCAAAATAAGCCTCGAGTTCAGCTGTAAGGCATCAATATAAGGCCCCCTTATTTTTAATTAGGAATGATTTCTTACCCAGGAAAAAGGATCGCTTGAAGCTGAAATACATGGAAGCTCTGAGGCTGGATGAAAGCCTTGAAGCCAGGGTGAAACACTCTGCCATGGAATCCAGTCCCGATATGGAGGAACAACAAGCCGAACTGTGAGACCATAAACTTCCCATGATAACATTTCTTTAACTTTATTGGCCTTTGTAGGAGAAAACTTCACAAGGATCAGGTAGAAGTGCATAAAGGTGTGCAGGAAGAAATAATGGCTTGCTTCAAGAGGGACATGGATGACCTAATGAAACAGTATGATGCTGAGTACTCACGACTAAGAAAAGTGAACTCTGGGTGGATGAATCAGCAGCATAACCCCACCGATAACACTCACCAGCCTTAGCCAGCGCTTAGGAATTTTTAAGATTTCAGCATTTTATTAGTGGCAGTCAAAACATGTTTTTGAAGCGTGTTGGGTTTTGACTTTAAAATAAAAAAATATGCAGTATTTTTCAGATTAATTTTTTAATAGTTATCATCACTTTTCCTTTGGCTTCAGCTCACTTAGTTCCGTGGCATGCTCGGCCAGCAGATCGAGCATCACCTCGATCTTGAGGTTGCACATATTGTTCTCCTCCTCGAGGGCACGAAACTTCTTGTTCAGCCGTAGCATGTCATCCACGTCGCCCTTCCGGCTCGAATGCATCCAGATGCCGTCCGCAAAGCGCAGCTCCTTGTTGCCCAGTGTCAGGGAAATCTGGCGGTAGTCATCCAGATCCTCGGTGGCCACCGGATGTCCTATATTGCAACGTCCCTGGCGCACTGGAATCGGCTTCGACTCGAACTTCTTGTTGAAGAGCGGCATGGCAAGCGACTGAAACGGAAAGTTGACCATATTTCGATTACTTCCCCATTTGTTGTGACTGGCCCCGTTGCCCAGGACAACGGACACTTGTCGAGGGGTCAGCGTTCGCGGCAGGACTCGTGCCGGGTTTTTTTATGGCTACTAATACCATATGTACCTGCTTGAAGGGTGGCAGGCTGTCACAGATTGACAACGCACAGCAAAAGCCTGCCAGAGGCATAGAATCGGTGAAATACAGCGAATTCCCAGTGCCGCCGCCTAGATTTGGAATCCAAAGTTCTTTAAATACGGTTCTTAGTTGCTGAGAATCTGAGAAGTTTTGAGACAAAGCTTGCTTGATTGCTGAAAACTCAAGTGTATAAACCCGCCATAAGCTGATACAAACATCTACATTGTAACATCTATAATAATAATATAACTATTATTAACATGATCAAATAAAAATAAAATAGAAACATTAAATATTATTAGGAAATCAGCTTAAAATGTGATTGCAGACACTAAAGGAATATGACACAACAGGAAAACAAGCAAGCCATTCTCAGGTAGGAAGGCAAACATATATTTGTGTACTAAACCCATTCATAAAGGCAATCCACCATTTAGCAACTCTGTGCGGGAAATGGCTGAAGGAGTGGATCGCCTGGTGCGGGACCAGGCCCACCTGAAGGTCCATCTCAACGGAGTTCTGGATGAGAACCGCCGGCTGGACCACGAGTTGGCCAAGTGCAAGAGCATTCTGGCTCGCGGCGATTACCAGGAGCTCAAACACCGCCTTCTGCTGAGCAATAATGCATTGGACGCGGCCAAGAAGCAGGTGGATGAGCTCACCAAGGAGCGGAACAGCCTGAAATCCATGCATGACTTCTCCAAACAGACCATCGAAACCATGGAGATGGATCTGAAGAACTATCGCGTCCATTTGCAACTGTCTGGAGATGACCAGGTATTATCACCATACCCTTCCTACCCACCAGAATATTACAAAGAAAAACCAATCCCATTATTGTTATTTTATAGTAAGCTTTGAGAAAGTCGTATGTTCTAGGGACGCCAGAGAGACTAGCGCGTACAAATCCTAAAATACACTTCTACGTTTTCGGAATTCACTTTTAGGTCATCCAGCGGTACTCGAAGGTCGTCAAAATGCTGGAGGCGAAGGTGGTGGACCAGCAAAATGAGATTCGCACGCAGGCGGAGACCATAAAGGCACTCCACGATCACAAACAGCACAGCGGGGAGCAACTGCTGCAGCTGCATGCTCAACTGAGGGACCGCGAGCAGAGTGAGTCCAAGGTGTCCATACTGCAGAAGCAGCTTAAGGAGTACGAGGTGTCGCTGAGACACACTCACAATTTGCTTATGGAGAGCACAAGACGGGAAACCAACGCCATGCGAAAAGTGGAGGAGGCCATCATACTCAGCGAAGAGGCAAACAAGGAGAAAATGGAGGCCACCAAGCTGGCCGAGGCCTACAAGGAGGAATTCACCCAGTTGGCCACCAATATCGGCACCATTATGGATGAGGCGTCCACACGGGTTGACGTTGAGGTGGACCAGCTGAAGAATATGCTCAAACAGAAGGACACTTTGATTATCACCATTAAGGAGAAGGTAAATTCTATAATTTTATAATGATCATCGCTTATGGTTACAATAATTTTAGCTGAAAAAACAGGCTGTCGATCATAAATCGGTGGTTCACATGCTGGAGACCCGGAACAATCGCCTGGAGCAAAAGTACAAGGAGGTGCTGAAGCAGAACGATAAGCTGGAGGTCGAGTTGGAGGTAAACTGCCGCCGACTTGGCGAGCTGGAGCGATCCCTTAACGAAGTATACGGGGAAGATGCCCACGATGCCAGGATGTGAGTATAGCATATGGAATTACTATGTGAACACTTAATGACAATATGATTATACATCAAAACGCGTTTAGAAAAAGGCACTATGAGTCGCAAATGGAGCACTGCCTAATGGAGCATAAGAAGATGAAGGCCAAATACCGCGAAGGTATGGAGGACATCACGCAACGCTTCGAATCGGAAATTTACAAGTTAAGGGAGGATAACTCCCTGCTGCTGGCGGAAAACGAACTGCTTAAGAGCGGGGCCGCAGGTGACAGCTCCAGGCAGCCTTCCTAGACCTTCCTAGACCTGACTTTACGATTGTACAAAGATATATTTTATGATTAATTTGTACATATTAAATTACTTTGACGAGATTACACTGCGTCCTCTTCGATCGGGAAACAAACTGGGAAACCAATAGGCTGGCTCATCGCCCGTCTGCTTGTCAATCCAGCAGAGACCTTCGCCGAGCAGCTTGTCCAATGCCTGTTGAGCACGGTAGTCGGTCCATCTGAGGACGAATAATACAGAAATCAAGTGGCTATTCAGCTTAATGTACACGTGAAACCCATACCCCAAATCCTCGATCAACTGACTCGGCGTGACACAGCCTTGTTCGGTATTGGATGCGGCATTCAGTATGTTGGTCTCCTCCATGCTCAGCTCACCGGGAATGGACTGAACTATGTACTTCCCCTTGCCCAGTTTGTGCACCACAAAGCTGCAAGTACGATTTGGAAATTGATAAACCTGGTAAACATGAAATGTAAAGCAATGACCATTACCCGTTGCCGAAAATGCTTAGTTTCTTAGCGGCCATTAGGATGTCCTCCTTGGTGATTTCCTGGTGCACTGAACTCAGACCTCTGGCGGCGATCAGCCGAACTCGCAGATCGTCCAGCTCCATGAATCCACCTGTATTGTGATTGGCAGCCAGGCAAACCTCCACCACCTGGACACCCAGTTCGTAGTAGAAATCTCCCATTCCCAGCACGCTCCAGAATCCCTTACCGGTGGCCAGCGGATCCACGCCGATGGCGGCGCACATTTCTTGAAACTGTTTTCGAAATTGCGAGTTCTTGCGTATGTCCTCCTTGTGTTTCATCGCAAATTCCTCGAGCTTCACCCGAAAAACCTCCATTTGCTTGGTCATTTGTTCGAGTTGGCTTTCCTGCAGGACGGTGCCCTTGTCCTTGTACTTCTCCGCAGCCAGCTTCTGCTGCTGGATGGCTCCCAGGCCCACACGTCGTCGCATTTCTAATGCTAAAGGCTTTATTTATTAGTATTTTTAAATTTACTCCATGAAAATTAATCACAATACCAAACAGCTGTTTTTCTTACGTGCTGCAGATACGTAGACGTAGCGTAAAGAGAAAATGTGCTGTTGTTCTAGTCGGGTGCTGTTATGCGCAATGTTAACTATTTGAATTTCATAGAGGGCTGAAATTTACAGAAAAAATATAAAACTAAAAAAAAGGATAATTCTCGAGCAAGTACTTTACATCTGTCTATATTCAAATGTCTCAATCTGATTCTTTATAAAATTGTTATATGCTTTAAGTTAATAACTTTGCATATAATAAATGTGATAACAATAAGAATTTAATAAATTATTTAAAATTTTTCATTTTCCAAGCAAACACCATCTGATATCCAATTTAGCGCTCAAATAAAATGCATTTGTCACAAGGTCCGCACAATTAATGTTTAATGGACCCACCGCCCCCATGGTTCAATCAACAAACATCGCATTCGGGGGTAAAAAAGAAAATAATCGCAATATGACGAGAAACCATGACAAGGGTTTTCATCGATGAGCCCGCATAATTATGATTGGAAAACGTCATCGGATCAGCTGCTAATTTATCCCATGAAAGTCACTCGTGTTTATAATGCCAGCGGAAATCGAACCCGCTGATTAAATTTCCGATCTTTGCAGCCCACTATGGGGAATTTGACCTGATTTGTTGGCAAAAATGACTTTTTTAAATATAAATATAGTAAAAATTTGTAAATAGATACATTTTTAGAGTAGGGTTTGAGTTAGGTACTTATGAACCTATATGTTGTGGTTTTGATGACCTGATTAAGGCTTGTTATGTATAAACTTTTGATCTTTGAAATAGAGCATTTGCAACACTTTTATATCCAGTGCTTTGTCGTTAATTTCCACACAAATTGATGATCACAAATATTCATATGCGTGGCCATATGTCCAATAACTAGGTCAAACATCAAACTCGGGCACACAACTCAATGGGATTGCATAATGGCTTTGTTAATTGAAAAATCTTGGCATGTCTATTAATAAATTGTGGCCAATCTACAAGCAAGGGAGTGTAACGCGATATTACACTTTCCAATTGATGCATTTATTAATAGTTATATAAATGATAAGCTATTGAACTTGATAGTATAGATGGAAAAGTATACAAAACAGTCAGCTGTGACTAAACAAACTAATGATAAACAGTTGTCACGTTGCAGATAGAAATCTAAATGATGTAAACAATGATATGCTTGATTGCTATTGCGATTTTATCTTAAATTTAACAAAGACCAGTGCGATATGTAATATTTTTATGAAAAAATAAAAAAACACGCTTTTGAACACGCTTCGTGCACTTTATTTCTGGATTTCATCGCCCTACGTGCATTTCCTCTTCCATCTGTTGGCATTTGTCGGATGCGCAATTATTTGGACAGGAAGCCATGCAGAGATGAAAACGTTCGGATACAGATACAGATACGGGTAAGGGCGTGGTAAATATTTGTTTGTTTTTCACCGTAGTTGCGGCCTGACTTGCAAATGCAAACCGAATCAAGCCAAATAAAACGCGCAGGGGCGCACAAAAATGAATGGAAGTGCTGAAGGAAAAGCGAACTGAAATAGCACCAGATAAAAATAAACAAAATGCCGCTGAGAGACAAAGGGCCAAGATGCAACACACAAGGCACGAGCGAATGAGGGAGTCTAATTCCGATGACACACAGAGAAATTACTAGCAATTATGCACAAGAAATAGTCGAATTTCATGTGATATCTGAGGGTTCCTCATTTGAATGATGATCGTTTTGATTAGATATGTACATTTTGTAATATCCATCCTTAAAAAGTAGGTATGCATTACAGCAATCCAGTTTGATTGTAAAAGAAAAACAGTGGGTGACGCAATGCGGGATGTTTGACAGTCGAGGGCGAAATATTTGGGCAGCTGACAAACACGCAGTTCGCTGCGTTGGACCATCGCATGTAATCAGCCGCATTAAATGCAAACTGCAATATGCCAGAAATAGTTTCGAGCAGATGCCGTCAGCTTAGCATATACTCGTTACAAACAGCTACGGATGCCGAGGGGATCTAGAGATGCAGCTACGAATACAGATACAGATACGGATACAGAGATACAGAGATACATCAACATCAGGCATTACGACAGGCGGAGCAAAACGGCTGCCTTTCGAGCTGACCAGCTCATTTGATTTTCCATGCGTCGCAGATCGCATTACACATTAATAGAGTCCATTCACATTTCAGTGGCCTTTCCCTTATCCCCATCGAAATGCATATGAAATGAAGCCACAGAACCACAGGGGAACCACCAACCACCGGGCCAAGAAAAAGTTGAAGAACCGAACAAGAAAAAGCCGATCGGGGTCACCACTCCCCGGTCTCATAATTTATCCAAAACACTCGACGAGTGGAAAACGGGTGGAAAACGGAAAACTTTCGGCTGGCAGCGGAAAACTCTTTTGTTCGCGGCGACTGAAAAGTAATAATACAACAAAAATTCAAAACGAAATAAGAGGAAATCTTAGACAATGCCTGCAATGCCGGCGAGGGCAATAAAAACTGGATAAAAATGGTGGGAAATTAGGGAAAATCTCTGGCAGTGCTTTGCGTACGCAATAAAACCAGTTGGAAAGTTGGTCGCCGCAGCGATCAATTATTATGCCGGCCTATTGTTTGTGCATTTTCCAAGTGACTGCACAGGGAAATAAAGTTTTCTCAATTTAATTTAATCATATAATGACAGGGTATCTGTTATACAAATGCGATGCTCATCATTACCTTAAACCGTGTAAAAACTTGAGACTCAGCAACCATTCATTGATATATTCACAGTAGCAACAGTCAAACTTTGGTATATCGCACTAGAAAACCTGATAACATTGCGTGGGAAAGATCGTTCTGCATCAGCTGGTTCCACAATTTCTCTCTGTGTAACGCCATCTACTTTTTATAGTTGCAGCGGCAATTGTCGCTGGTTTTCGCCTTGCCAACCAGTTTGGGTGTGAAAAGTAACGGGCCGAGCAGGCGAACACACCCAGGCAAATAAGAACACTGAAGTGGGTCAGCGGGAACTTACAAATCGCGACTTACAACATACGACTTGGCTGGCGTGTTGCATGCAACAGCGAGGCAACAGCGGACAAAGCACCGAGGCATAGCCAAAGTGACCCACCGATGTGATTTATGCCCACGACCCACTCTCCGTATGCCATTACACATGCGATTTGTCTAAGGTTTCCTTTCCCCCGTGAATTATGATCTCGGTCAGTGGGCTGTGGTGGTGATACATTATGTATGGTGGGCAAGACATTAGCTTTCCCGTTACCCAACGTCACACGATCGCCGACAGCTGGGCGAAAGCGGAGGAAAACCCAAGCCACCTCTCCAAAGAACCCGAGATCTGTGTAGCCTCTATTTCGGCTGCGGGGTTATCTATTATGTCCAGCGCTTTCAACTGGACACTCCACTGAAATCGGAGGCTCGTGAGATTTATGGGGCAGCAGACGGAGTGGCAGAGTACGAAATAAATGCACAAACTTAGCGACGGCTACGGCGAACCAGAACTCGTACTCAAACTCGAACCATCCCGTCGTCTGCTGGCTGCAATTAAGCGCCCAGGAGTCACGTAGAGTAATTGTAGTGCCTTTCGGGATCGGGATCGGGATCAGGCAGCCGGGAGAGATAAATGAGGCAAATTAGCACTCGGCGACCCGTTCAGGAAAAGGGCAAAGGGCAGCCTATGCATCAGCGAAAACGATCAGGTTGTGGGACTGGCTTTATGTCATAAGCGAAGAATCTGAATCACACCTCATCGCATACATATATCACATACTCGAGAAATGAATCATGAATCATGAATATTAGTGCACTACAGCACTTGCTCAGAATATACCTCACATTCTTGGGATAATTCCTCAGATAAATCGAACTAGAAATACTTCGGAAAACTCAAATATGTGGAAAGATACTCCCATGCTTTCAATAAATCGCTGAGTGCACTTCGGTTGTTGATCCGCACAAAGGGAAAATCAAAACAGACCCTACTTCCCAAAACTTTCTTTCCTTTCTTGAGACCGCGTGAATTCCGGAAATCACAATCGAGAACAATGGGAGCAATCAAGAGCTGGTCCCTAATAACAAACCTCTGCAAACGGAGCGAAATTCTATCTCTCGAGTGTCCAATTGATACGCATTTATCGCCCCTCTGCAAGTTCCTGATTTCATCGCAAGTCCCCTGCATAAAACCGCATGCCTCAACCCTTTTCCCCCTTCCCCCGCTTCGTTTAATGTTTTGTTTTGGGCAAGGCCATAATGAAAGCCAAAAAAAATAAAAGTAAAATAAAAATAAAACTAAAACTAAAGTAAAAAAATGAAACCCTAAGCGGACAACGACAATTCCTCGACTGTCTATGCTTTTTGGGGAGCAGATGTTACTTTTGGCGGCTCAAAACGAGAATTCTTTGAGCCAGCCTCGTCTCTCCACCTCTCCACCGTTTCCCCGATTCCCCGATTCCCGATTCTCCGGCTGCTGCTCAAAAAACAAAACCAGAAAACCGAAAATAAGACGGCGACGACGGGTCGGGAGAAAGGAAAAAGCAAAGCACTTGTGCCAGCTTGAGCAGCTCAACGAGATATTCGTACGCGTGTGAGGATGTGGAAGTACACTGCGAGAAATTGGGCTTCAGCCATTCCTTAAAGCCCCATATTCGTGCAGTGTCAGGAATACATACTACGATTCATTTCTCAACATAAATTCTGTATTCTTAATTATATTTGTTTATGATATATGATAAGTATGAATGGTGGTTGCCATATTCAGCCATATGACATGCATATAAGTATGAATGATTCGGATGAAGAGATGTGCTCGTTATATATCCACCCGTTTTGCGCAGTGCACATGGGGATGTATTACAAGTGCGGAAACGGGAAGAGAGAATGCTCCATATGAAGCAGGCGGTGCAGAGAAGATTGCACCGGGCTGTGTCAGATTCAGGTTTTGGTTTTGGCGCAAAAAATGCTCAAAATTTCCAGCAGCAGGTATTCGCACTCGTATTCGTATTCGAATTCGCATCCGTGAGGCTCCGATGATGAGGGCAGCCGCATTCACATTCACATCCACACATCCACGGCAGCAGCCGCTGAAATTGGCGCAAAATTTACAGATTCCTTAAAAAATAAAAGAAAAAGAATAAGAAACAGCAAATGGAAAGCGACTACAGCAGCGGCACAGGTCCCCATTTGTATCAGTGCGGCGCCGAGTTTGTGAGGCCTTTCAAAGACGGGGGCAATCACAGGCCCCAACTTCCCCTATGGATCCCATGCCTCATATATGTGTAATATGTAAATTTATATATTTGCATATATCACCTCCCCCTAAAACACTTTTATGCTCTATAAATAGCGCGCTTACTGCGACTATATTACATGTATCAACACATTCAAGAGCGCAAGCATACATTTCTGTTTTCTAATTGATTGTTATCCAAATATTCGACGATGCAGTTGCTTATTAATTCTTAAAACACATTCTCACTGCTTTATGTTTCACTAATCACTAAAATTGATTGGCAAGGCTAATCTAATCATCTTTGACAAGGCCTATCGAAAGAACCATATTCTAAGCAGTTATTTTGACCAGTTAATATGTACTACTTAACATTTCTTGATTTCCCACTTAAGTATACCAATTAAAAGTAGTTTAAAATGTGTTTTAGGCTCACATTACACATGCGCTATTTGTGGCAGTGCAAAGTATCTGCTAGATTCATTTCAAGCGACCGGAACTGCAGTTTGCACATTGCACACAAGAGAAAGAAACAGCTGACGGGGTGAGGAGAAAGCAGAAAAGAGGGGCTCCTTAATGAGCTCATTTATTAATTAGGCGAACGTGACGTCAGCCGCTGTGTATCTCAAACTGCCTGCAGTACGTTCGGCACTAAAACAGCAGTTAACCTCATGCGCAGCGCGTGCGACAGTTCCATTGATCGGATGCGTTGGCTTTGGCTCAGGGCTCATTCCTTTCATTATCATTCACTGCTTTCAACCTTTTGTGGGCCGGGGTTACATGCTACGTGGGCCATAAACTAATTTCAGCCAGCCAGTCGGGGGAAAACAGCTTGAGTTTTCCGCAGACAAGCTGCGTGCGGCGGAAGTGACGGCGGAAAAGTAGCCCATCAGTAGACCCAGACACGTAGCCAGAGAACATCTATAAGATAAAAATATACTCGCCGACATGCATTCAAATAATGCGCAGTGAAAACTCAGCGCAGCAACATGCGTTATCAAAATAACCTAAGCTGAAGCGCATTTCAGTGGAAATGACGCAGCAATGGGGTGACGTCGAATGGGGTGGCAGATTTCAGGGGAAAATCGAACAGAGGGGCTGAAAATCTCTTTTGCAACACTCACACATATCCCACTGCATTGTTCCCCTCTCGAGTGGCGCGTTTTTGGATGGATTATTTTGGCGAGAGGGTTGCTTTTTGCATAGAGTTGCACGTGGACGTGGCACGACCTGTGCCACATATCCAACCACCCGATCCGATCCCATCTGAACCCATCTCAACCCCTGTTCACCTCGCAAGCAGGTAGTTGCCAATCCGAATTTGGACATCGCGCCAAAAACATATGAGCAGGGATATCCATTTTCTATACAGTGAACGCCGCAGAATCGAAACTCTTGGATAGATAGATACATATACTCGTAGGTAAAAGTTACAGTCAATTCAAATGCGCCACAAATAAAGTTCAGTAAAGGCTTACATTCAATTGGTATCTAATAACAAGATGTACATTTTGAAAGGAATGCTTTTCTCTGTTCTCTTGCGTTTCCGTTTGCGAGGGCCCACTGTACGCCCGAGCACAACAATAAATCGCAATCCTTTGGGCGCGGCCTTTGTCCGGGGCACTCTTCAAAATGACTAATCGGTCCGGAGCAGACGAAATGGTCCTGAAGTCGAAGATCCGAGGTAACACCAGCTGCTCCTCCAGTGGAGAGGCCAGTGGAGAGGCCAGTTTCTCGATGGCGATGGGTGATTCGGTGGCTCGGCTGACTCAGCATTATTGAAATTGAAATGACTTGTGGCCCACATTATTGATGCGAGTGTGTTGTGCTGCCAGCCACAATCGCTGCCTCCATTTCTATGCGGTTTTTCAACTCTTTTCACTTTCGTTTGTTTGAGATACGCTTGAATTGCCACCGCAAGCGCGAAAGTGTTTGTTAACCATTTTGCCTCTCTGTTATACAGATTGTACTCAGAATTTCTCGTTTTCCAGTCGCTGGCAATTTGTTCTAGCCACGTCTGGCCAATTAGGCCGTTTAATGCCGCATGAAGCACGGCTCGACCTTGAGTTAGGGCCCAAAACGCGCTAACATATCAGTTAGTTAGCGTTTAGCTCGGTATTTGTGCGAGGTAAATAGTAACAAGTCCGCAGTCTCTAGCATAACTAATTGTATTTACTCGGCCTATAATTGGCACACAAAAAACAGATTCACTTTCCATAATTGTTACATGAAAACAGCCAATATCGTAGGTCTGCCCTTAAATACTTTTTACAAATACAAAATTGGATCGGATACATTTAGTATGGAAGGTAAGGGGCAGCATTGTGCGAGGTTACTACTCGTTGTCATCTCAAATCGGGCTTTATGATGTCATTGAATTCATTTAAAAACTACTTTGAATTCATTAAATGTTTGGTTTCGATGCAATTCAGTTTTATGACTAGCCTTGGGCTCAAAAAAACAACTTGGAATTTGTTTTTAAACTTCCAGAACTTAAGTTTCATACAAAACAAGATAGAATGCTATAGTCGAATTCCCCAACTACCCGTTACTCAGCTAGTATACGACAAATTTCTAAATTTACAGGAATATCGGTAGAAATTGCGAAAAAAATAAAAATAACGAATTGAAAAAACAATTCAAATTTTTTCAAACGGTTGAGCGTGACAGTTTTGTGCAGTTTGTGGGCGTTAGAGTGGGCGTGGCAACAGCATTTAACAAACTTGCAGTTCTTTTATGTCTCTGGAATCTGCATGCCCAATCTCACCTTTCTAGCTCTTTTAATTCCATATTTATTTGACGTTTATACGTCAAGTTACTCTAAGGGTACCAGAGTACCACATATTATCTGATAAAGGAAAAATATGATTTATGATGTCATCGCACTGAGCCGTTTACTCGCACTGTTAATAGCAGAGAGAGAGAGAGAGAGAGAGCATAATGTAAGGAAACATAATTTTAAAGATAATAACAGTATGATAACAGTACAAATTTTTAAAGATGATAGTTTTGTATATTTTCAGGAAACAACAGTTTTCGGTTTTTTTAAGGAAACATATTTTAAAGATAATAACAGGTTTGCGTTTTTTAAGGAAATATATTTTTGAAGGTAATAAACGTTTTTAAAAGATAAAACCAGATGAATGTTTTATTAAAGGTGATAATAGTTTCTTAAATATACTAACTGTTTCATTAAAAAAAAAGTTTCCTAACATTTTTAGTTTACTAATTTTGATGTATAATTTTTTGGATTTTTCTAGCGTACATTTTTTATTTTAAATATGCGTATGCGAAATGTTAATGTTAAACAAATACTGAAAGAGTTTTAAAGAGCGCATTAACAGCTTAAGAGCGGAGAGCAAATGTAAAGTAACATATGTCGGCCAAATTGGCACAGACGAATCTGGTCACACTGAAAGCTATATAAAGCGAGGCAGGCAGCTCACTTTGCGTAGTTGGTCGTGAACCCTCCACGGTATTGGTCGCGCTTTTTTCGCCGTCGCTCTCCTGAAAGTCGTATAATTTCGCTAGCCCTCCACAATACAAAGCGCACAAAGAAAATAAATCGCCAGCGCTAGTTAACTGATTGAAATTGCAATTGCAATGCCTAAAATGCGTACGTGAGTTTCGCGCAGTGTTGCTGTGAAAGTTCAAGTGAAAGCAGATAGAAGAAAAAACAAACCGTGAATACTTGCAAAGCAATAAACCAAAAAGTGCAAAAATACGTAAAGTTTCAAAAAAAGAAACAAGTTATACAAAACCATATTAAAACCAGCCATGCTGTGTCCGCTGATCGGCTTTGGCTTTCTACATGCCCCCGTGCCACCGCCTAGCACCTTGGAGAAGAAGAAAGTCTGTCGCAATCTATTCAACACCGCCCCCGGGGACGCGGAAGTCGATCAGCTGTTGGCCCAGGAGCAGCAGAAGAAGAGATTTTACGTCAAGGAGCGCTTCGGATTCGATATCCAGCATGAGGCTCGTCGGAGTGCGGATGCGGATGCGAATGTGAATGCGGATGCGGTTAGGGGTACGGATACGGATGCCCAGGCCCTCCGCGGAATGCGATATCCAACCACACGGACGATACCCAGTAGCGATGCCGATGAGTGCAATCCGAAGGCAGTAAGCGAAGCGCCGAGGGGCATAGCCCTGACTCCCGCAGAGATCTCCACCAGCGCACGGCTGATCCTCCGGAAAGGTCCAGAAAGCAACAGCAGTGCGGATTTGGCCAACAGCACGAGACATGTCCATAAGCCGTATGCGATGCAGCCACAAGGCCTCAAAGGTACGTTTTTTCCATGATTTATCTGGTTTTATTTTCCCCTGGAAGACCTGGTCTGAATAGTGAATAGTCGTTGGTTTCAAGTTAAATATGCAAGTATCTAATCGATTTTTCCAATGAATCAGCCACACACATATCACTTACAGTGCAGCTAGACTGAAACCTCTAGAATCAATCTCATAGATTACCGCAGTTTTTGTACGTATGCTGCATACATATGTACATATTGTCCTAAAGGTTAAATTTACTAAAGGTACATTTACTTTTTATACAGATGGTGAAATAAGCAGACACCTGATTTTAGCTGCCTTTTCCGTTATTCCTTGCTCTTGCACTCCTTGTTTTGTGCTCGTTCTTTGCCACAGACGTCACCCTTATAAAATTATTCTTCCTTAGTCGAAAAAAAACACCCCTGTGCTCGGATTGTTCTAATTTCGTTCCTCCCCTTCTGCGTTGATTCTTATTGTCACTTCCCTCTTGTCCTCTTTTTCCTCTTCTTTTCTCAGTAGTTTTCCCAGTTGTTTGTGGCTTCATTCACTTGTGTATCCTAGAGCTCAAAGAAGCTGGGTTCAGTAAAATCGAATTTTTGAAATTTTAAAGCTGAAATAGTTTGCCCACCCTTAAAAAAAATATTTCCGTTTGCCCACAGCTTAAACTAAATAAATTAAAGCAAAAAGAAGCTGTCATCAGCTTAAAATATTTTTATTCTTGCACCTCAAGAAACGATCAAAGATCGGAGGTGTCTATGCACATAACCAACATATGCATATAAATAAAACACACATGCACATTTTAAGTTCTGCTATCTACACTGAAAAAATCAAATTGAATAAAAAATGAAAATATATATTTTTAATGCTTATGAAAATTCCAAATTATGATAGATAATAATATCGGGAAATCAATATCGGGTTAGATAATAATAATAAAGGGTGTGCAGATCCTAATGGACGCCACAACTTACTGAAATTAAGTTTTAATTGAAATTTTTTTTAAGGGTAGGCAAACGATAATTAAAGGGTTATATTTTCTAAACAAAAAGTTTTTTCATAATGTCAACTTTTAACATTTCATATCTTTAAAAGTGGAAGTGGGCAAAAGAAAACTAATTGATTGGCAAACGATTCCAGCTTTCAAATTTCAAAAATTCGATTTTACCGAACCCAGCTTGAGCTGTATCCTAGGGTTTAATCTTTTTGGTTGCTCGAAGGTGAATTGGGATACATGTATCTGATGGATAACAGAAAACTTAATTACTTGGGTTCACTGCAGATTTCACAGATTTTGTTAGAGCTATGTATTTCTTGAGTGTTTTTCAAGCGGGAATTGTTAACCCACTTGGACTTTCCATTTTTTTTAGTTGGAAAAATTAATAGTTGAAAGTTCTAATCACCCAGACCGTGCTGTTGTGTTTATTATTAGGCTTGGCCCTTTTGTTTGGTTATTTAACTTAACTAGGGGCTGCAATCAATATTTGCAACAACTGTGCCCACAAAATGCATTCTGCTGTATGTTGTGGCGTGGCTTTTTAGTGCCGTTAATTCCCCCCTTTTTATTGGTTTGTTTGGTCATTCTCTATTATCGCGCCACTCAAACTTTCATATTTCAATCACGTTTATTTTTCCTACTAGCTCGAAATCTTTTCTCTTTTTGTTTTGGTATGAGTTTTTTGTATTGCGCCGCTCCATTTTGGTGCTCGCTCCAAAACGCTGCTTACTTTATTCGCACTTCGCTTTCATCGCGCAGTTCCGACTTCTTATCAATTCCGCATGTCAAGGTCCCAATTTCTGTAGATGGACTTTTGAAAAGAAACTCGAAAAGTATTATTGTAAGTCGATTGCGAATGAATTTCTATAAATAATTTGAAACAATCTAAAGTTTGTGATGATAAAGGTATTCGAAATTATTGAATTGTACAATTTAACAGATTCAAAACATTTTATTAATTTCTAATAATAATTTCGAGTATACATATCTTTAATTTTTTGCCTTTTGTTATTAATGCCTACATTGCGCTGATATTCCGCTAATAGCGTGGCAATCGAGAGTGGGAGAGAGAGAGAGGGAGAGCAGGGCAGAAAGAGAAGGCTGGTCGCCAGTTTTTCTTTGTTTTTTGTCAAAGCAAAAATGCTAAACAAACTGTACGTCAAAATAAAAACTGTTGAATAACATTCGCGCGCCAAAAATCTTTCCATCGCGAAAAGAGATTGCAGCAGAAAATGAACAGAAGAAGCGTAAAATGCAAAGGCAATTAATTGAGAGGCCTCAATTAAATTTAAATCAGCGCCAACGCCTTCTGGTTTTCATGATTGTTGTTTTTGTTGTTTGCTAGCTGCTGCAGTTTCGCCAAAGAAGAAATATAAAAACAAAAAAAAAAACAAAAAATCAACTACATGGCACACGCCTGCGACTGTACATGGGTTGGTGGGCTTCCCACTTCTCTTCTGTTGTTGTAAGGGCCGCACCCACAACGACAAACGCAATCTCAACCAGAGGGAAGCAACAAGAAACGGCACGCTCTTATACAACGACGTCAGTCCACTCACACACACACACGCTCACATACTCACCTACAGAAATATGTTGTCAGAGAGAGCGATTTTTGGTGCGCTCTCTCTTTTTCTCTCTCATCTGTTTGTCTGCCGGTGTTTTTGCGTTTTGGCGCGAATTTCGTATTTTCGTGTTTATTTTTAGTCGTATTCGCTGATAAGCTTTCTGCGTGTGCGACTGTGTGTGTGCGTTATTATGCGTAGTAGTACTACGCACGCACGTTGCTGGATGTTTTTAAAACTCGTCGTGAAGGTCACGCACACCATCGAGCGCAAATCGCGTAAGTACAGCAGTGCCAAATGTTGTGCTTTGTTGTGCTGTGTAGTTTTGTGGCAGGTCCGAAAAGCGGAGCGCACAAAAACAAATCAATTAGACAAAGGTCCTTTATTTCGCCCCTTACTGCTTTCGTGTGTTGTTGTTGTTCTTCTTTTTTTGCCATGTTTTGGTCATCACTGTACTTTTACCACACAGTTGACGCACCATTGGAAATATTTCTATTCTTTGATGATTCATATGATCTACTTGGATATTTTGCATATATCACTAACAATTTACAGCATGTATGTATGTACATATGTATGTCATGTGTGATTTTTTTGAATACGGAAATGATGTTTTCAAAGCGGTCCATTTGGCTTTCGTGATTATGTTTTGGCTTGGCCTTCTGGCCACGCCCCAAAAAGCACGATTATGTTTGTGATTTCCCCCTAAATTTATGTTTTTTAATTATGCATGCAGAAACTCTCTCGTGGGCTCCCACATAAATATTTATAATGGGAATTCTTTGTTTTCATTGCCGACTCTTTCTCCACACACATTTCGTAAACAAAACGCGTCTTGTTTTGTGAAAGATGGAGCGAGACGGAGCTACATACATAGCTGCGTGCTCATAATGATAACGGTAAACGCACTACCGCCCTCACCCTCCCTCATTCTCTTTCTATCCAGTCGCTTTTTACAATGAACTCGATCGTTTTTCCTCCATTCTTCTTCTTCGCCTCTGAAGAGAAACTTAACGTTCTTTGTCGCTGGCTTATAATTTTCTATAACTGTACATTTGATTATATCGCCAGAAGCGCGACTGTTTGGCTGCCAGCGATTTCCCTTCTCTTTCTCGGAGGCTTTCGAGTTTTCGGCACACGTTTGTAACGCCCAAAAAGGTAGATTTTTCCACTTGTTGCGCTTTTCGTTCCACTTTACTGGATACATTTGGCATATAATCTTAACTGTAGCAAATAAGCGTAATTGCAAGATACTTTCTATTTTGTAGAATCATTGCCATTCATAGTTCTATAATTCTATAATCACTCGTTCTTTAATATTTTTCTCTCTACTATAATCATAATAGATGATTTAGTGTGCTTGAGTATTCGGTTTTCTAAGCTAGTCTTGGGGCCTTCATGTTTTTGCTGTTGTTCGCTCTTCAGCTTTTAGGTCACTGCGCAGTGTCTGCGGTTTGGTGAGCGTCTTTGTACGATCGTGTAAGCTCTAGCGGTTTACGTGATGAGGCAACCACAGCTGCCAGCAATCGTGCTTTGATAGAAGTACAGTCGCAGCCCTCTAACTCGAACTGACATTTTTAGCTTTCGAATTGACAGTTCTGACAGTCGAAATGACATTCTTCGGTAAATAATTTTACAAATTTAAAGATACTTTTATGTGCTTGAAATGATTTTTTGGAGATTTTTTGATATGTTTAAATCTCATATTTTAGATTTTCTTTTTTAACATAACGATCCGATCAACGATACATTGATAAATGTAAGGCTCTACAAGTCGAAGGCGATCGACTGTACCTTTACGCTACACAGCTGCACTCTGACGATTGCACTTATCGCTGTGACCATGACATTTAGTATATCGGCCAGCCAATGACCAGGCATAGGTTTAGTGTACTGTCAAGCAACGGCAGCTCTACTCTCTAGGGCTTGCACAAGTGTGCATAATTTCCAGGGCGATAAGAAGGCTGCCGATGAAGAAACGAAACACACCCACTGACACGTATGCAGTATAGTATTTCCAATTGGACTCGCTGCACCTGGCATTGCTTTCCCTTTTGCGTTCTGAAGGTCACAAATGACGCTGGCACTTTTATTTATTTTTGTTTCGCTTTTGCAGCGTGGATTAGTCACAGTATTTTATGTAGCTATGTATTTTACAATGCCAAATACCAAACGTTTACCCCTCTCTTCTTATCTTTTCAGGCATGTACAACGTTCGCAAGGTTGTGAAGGGTATTTCGAAATCCAACGTCAAGAATAGTTACAACAATTACAACAGCAACAAGAACAATATCAATAACAACAACAACAACAATACGATTAATAATATTGATAATGGTACTAGCGAATTGACAGATAAGAAGCAGTAACTTTGGATCAGGATCAGAAATGACGGCGAATGGGCCCCTGGTGGAGCAATAATTGCAATATATGATATTTATTGTAAATGTAATTTTAATTTCTAAAATAATTTGTTTATTTTTTTGTACCCCCGCCATACACAGATACCCTTGTGTATGGATTGTAAGTTTGTTTTAAACCAAGACTTGACGGTCCCAAAATGTTGTTGCATAAAAAATGATTAAGTGAATGGAAAAAAAATGATGAAAAAAAAGCCAATCAGAAACAACAACAAAACTAAAAACCCAGAAAAGATCGGCGCGCGTGCACGGCACAAAAACAGGCAAACAAATCTATGATTAATAATAATAGTAGTATATCCGGGTGCATGGCGATATCGGTCTTATAATGGAAATTATTAAGTTATGGATACGTGCTAGTGTTAGACAAGCGATCGACGGCGCCATGCATCCATTATATAGACTTTAAACCCCAACCCAAACCAATTCAAGCGTTCTCAGCGTGTTTTCGGGTCCAGATGCACGCGTGTGCCAAAAGTATTTACAATTTACTTTGTGTCATGATCTCAATTATTAAAAACAATTTTATTATTTTGTTTATCCAAATGTAATTATAATTGAAATTATTTAAAAATTCTTCTTAGCCCACAAACACACACACACACACTCACTCTCCCTCTAATTAACACCCCACCCACACACTCTAATACACACACACACACACACTGTACTCATATTTATTGTATGTACATTATCGATGTGACATTTTAAATTGTATGTACTGTCTATGTATAAAAACTTCTTGTCTATAACAAAATTATTTCCCCCTTTCGAAAATCTATTTTGAACAACCAAACTGTGTATATTGTACGGAGTATTACCAAACTCCAAGCAGCTAAATGAGAAAAACCACAAAAACAACAACAAATACTGTGCATATTTCCTTAAGAAAGCAAGATGAAAAAAAAAACTTACTGTACTTCTCAAGCGAGGAGAGTAGCAGAAAAAAAACAAAACAAAAAAACTCTTAAAAATACAAATGTAAAACAAAAAACATTTAAAAGCTTTTTATTTGTCCACACTGGTTGGTGCCGTTTGTGGCGCCCTTTTGGGCCGAGATGGCGTGATAATTCTCAAGCGTAAGGAAAAGCGGGGAAAGATAAGTGGATGGAATGACTCAGCTTTGGAGCCTGCGGCTGCGGATGCATCAGTTTCTCCATTAGACAAGGTCCGCTCTACTGCTTCCCCGCACAGTGAACCCTCGATAAAAAGGAAATTTTCGTAGGAGAAGTGGCGCCTATCGTTACCCTGAATGGCATGATGACTACGTTTATGGATGACATTTATAAAACTTTAGAAAATAATTGATGCCATTATAATAATCTTCGTCTTTATCGTGTACATCCATTTGGTGGCTATTTTGTTTAGGTACAATGTGTATGCAGAGCATACCATCGAAACTTTCTATATGTACGATTTATATTGTAGGTTTTTTTCGAGTCCCCACCGTTCTAATTACATTCGATGCAGAGATTTGGTATGCAATCAAAAGTGAAGTGGTTAGGAAAGGAAGTGGAGACCCTTTCCAATTAGGGTGCTTTCCCATTTTCGCTTTCGTCGCTAATCATCCGCAGCAATCTAAGAGGCTTCACTGTGGGCTCTCGTGGCTCTCTCAATCGCCCGCGGACATTTCGGAAAATGCTTTCTAGTCGTAATTTGTGTGCTATTCGTACAAATGTGTGTGTTGTATCTACAATATGTTGCTGGTGGAGTGGAGTGGGCACTTAACATTAGATTGCCTGCGACTTCCGGCGAACAAAACGATCGTTGGGCGTTTGATGATGATTGATGCTGGCCGCATTTACCCCACATTCATCCAACTAATCAAGCGGATGTGGATTACGGATTTACAGAAATAATTTGTTAGGTCTAAACAATGGTATGCAAGAGCATAGCAAACGCAATAGTTGTTACATTTTCAGAGATCTAAGTTGGTAGAGTTCCCCAGAACCGCGATACAATAGTTTTAGAATCAAGACAAATTTCGCAACCACTGACATTTCAAGCATTTGGCACTGCTCTCTTAAGCGAATCAAGAATGCATATGCTTTAATAATGGCACTGCTGGCAGAATGGCAAATTACATGCCCTGCATTTAGTAACAAGCATGTACAACATATTTGCCCACTTAACTAGCGGTCTGGTACGGTTATTAGCATGCAATTTCAAGATTTTAATGGCTCTGCACTCGCATCGCAATCACACACACAAGCACACACACACGCGCGCATTCGCATTCACGTAACGCAACGGAGTTCAGGCGTACAATTCTGGATATAGTAATAGCACTCAAGGTGATATCACTAAACAGCGACTACATACATACATATATGAATTGAACTTAACAACTGGAGAAGTATAGTTTTTAGGTGTATGATTTCGCCATATAGTAATACATCTGCTCAATGAACAGAAAATTAATGAATGCGGCTGGATTCAAAATGGATTCCAGAAATTAGTCATTTAAAAAAGTGAAAAAAGAAGCTAACCTTTAAATGAATCACTGCACTTTCGTATTTATAGGTGAAACGATACCTGAGAATAGCAAAACTATTCGGTTATTAGCTTGTAGAGTGGTTTCTTAAGATCGGAAGTCCTATTCACTTGCCCGCCATTGTGGGTGCGGGAAAGAGAGAGAGAGAGCTAAAGGTGTTTGCACTCTCGGCAAAGTCACGTTGGCCGCAATACGAATTCTCGTTTTTTGTGCATTCGCCACGCAATAAATTCAAAGCTGCTAAGCGAAATTTATGACGTCGATTTGAACTTGCCATCTCTTTCTGCCATTACGGTACAGTTAAACCAGTGTCTTAGAAAAAAAAACGGTATACAGGGTGTTTGCACTTTGTCGTCAGAATTGTGTCTCTATTTCTTCCTTTCACACTTTTATTTTATACTTTTTCTACACTGCAAAATCACAATAACTTATGGCACGACCAAACGGCGGATTTAATTGCATTCCGTTTTCGCATTAATCACCATTAATGTCAGCGGCTGCATTCGAGTGGGGTGCAATGTCTGGAAAAGCGTGAAAAGCGAGCCAAGGCCATCTGTCATCGTACAGTAAGTATGTACGCATGTATGTATGTATCTATGTGCATACATATACATACATATATGAAATTGAAATCAATCAGAAGTGAGTGCCCCCACTCCCTATAGCCATCTCGCTCGCACCTTCGGAAATCCCGCATGACGTGAGGTCAGCAAAGGGGACAAAATGAGGAGCACTCCACTGAGGAGCCGACTCCATGGGCCAATGCTCTAATCTCCTGACCAACTTGTGGCTTCGCATTTTCTCCTTGGCCCCACTCGACTCGGATCATTAGCCATACCCTTTCATTTACAGGGCTTATCGGTTGCTTTACAAAGTTGAAAGTATTAAAGATCTGTAGATCCGTAGTGCTGCTTTATATCATCTGCATAAAATATTTGAACTTTTTAAAGACTATCTAAATGGAGATCTCAGTACCATATCTGTACAATAATTCATATAAATTATTATTTCAAAATGTATATAAGATAGATTTAAAAGATCCTAAATATCCATCCTACATATCAAACAAAGGCTCAGTTATTTCAGGTATTCCACTCTTCGGCCGTGTTTTGCGACTGCTGTTGCCATAGTAATTTCAGATGGCCAAGTTCGAGCAATTTGCTGGGCAAATCAACGACATGCAAAGCACTTTTGTTTATTTCGTTGATTGTTCCCACAATTTTCGTACAATGCTGGAAAATGTACGTGCCCAAGAGTTGTTACTGTAATTGTGTTAAAAAAAAAAAAACAAAAAAAAAAGATTAAAAAAGCGAGCAAAGCGAAAGGAAAATAAAGAAGATGAGGGAAAAAAATAAATCATACAACGTGAAAATTCTTTTCAAATGCCACACAAAGGCGAAATACCAGAGGGGAAGCGTGGGGGTGGGGGCCACTCGAGGGGGTTCCCCCCGCTTGACAGACCCGAAAGATCCCTCAGATGCGCACTGTAATCGTTCTCAGTTTTTCGGATAGGACAGCGAAGATGTTGCACAAAAGATACGCCAGGGGAAGATCACGTACAGCATGAAATGGGGGCGTCATTTACATTGGCTCATACTCGTAGGGCAGTGAGCTTAGAGCCAGGATCGCATCCCATCGCCACGGATCGTGAGCGTGTGAATCACAAGCAAAAGTGTGAGATGAGCTGGCCAACTTGGTCTTGGGAAGGGCAGCCTAATACATACATAAGTACTCGTAGATCTCTGAAACGTGATCTTAAAATGGAAACGTGCTGCCTTGTTATTGAGATGTCGAGATCCCTGTTTAAGTGCGCCTGAGTGACCTTTTCAAGCCCGGAAAATGAAGGAACCCAAATATAACTCTTCCATAAATTGACCGAGATCATAAAACCCCTAGGGAACACTAGCTTAAGCCTTCTGACAGCTCACTAGTTAGAAATTTCACTCTCACTTGTCATTGTCGAACCGAAGATTGTTTCCAGAGATAAGTTGTCATTTGATATCCATTCCAATCGACGTTTTAAGTTAAAGTTCTAAGATGGAAAAGTGAATATTGCCCAATATACTGCGCGTATGCTTTTTCCTTGCCAGACATATGGATTTGGAATTATTTGAACGTATAATAACCAATGTCAAGCTTGTTAATCGACCCCATCCAATTATCATAATTGATTTAAGGCAAGCCGTAACATTTATAAAGTTGCTCAAGTAAATAAACAAACCAAGCTTATAGGGAACATAAAGTGAATTAGGAAATCACTGAGCTGTGTACTTGGAAGTGGCAAAGGGACGACTTTTAGTCATGATGAAATCTCTGAAGAAGGTGAGCCTGCCAGCACTCTCCGCAGCTATCCTCTTTTGCAGTTACCACTACGGCAGGGTCCTGGGAGTGATATGCTTTGACATCGGCCAAAGGACATCGGACAATTCCCTGGTGGCTCGCAGTAAGCAACAATTCAAATGGTTCTGTCTGAGTTTCCGACTCATCAGTGCCACAGCTGTGTGCTGCTTCTGTGCCCCCAATGTGGCGGTAATCGAGGATCCCCACGAGTGGTTGCTGCAGTGCTTGCGCCTGTCGGCCAGTCTCATATGCGGCACCTGCATAATGGTGGTGCAGATCTGCTATGAGAAGGAGCTGCTCCGCATGATCAACAGTTTCCTGCGGCTCTTTCGACGGGTCAGACGATTGTCGTCCTTGCAACGGTTTGGATTTGGAGGCAAGCGGGAGTTTGTCCTGCTCCTGTTTAAGTTCATCTGCCTGGTCTACGAACTGTACTGTGAGCTGTACCAGCTATGGCGTCTACCCGATTTGGCATCCTGGCTTAGTATGCTATGCGATATATTCCTGGAAATAGGCTCTCTAATGATCATACACATCGGATTCGTTGGGTATCTCAGTGTAGCCGCTCTCTATTCCGAGGTGAATAGGTTCGCCCGTGTTGAGCTGCGTCGGCAATTGAGATCCTTGGAACGTCCTGCCGGAGGTCCTGTGGGCCGCAGGCAACTAAGGATCGTTGAATATCGTGTGGATGAATGTATATCGGTATACGAC